CTTCGCCTCATCCCCACTTCGCCCCAGCCGTTACATGTAAAAAAAAATCTCATCTATTTTTTTGGCTTTAAAAACAATTTCAACAGATTCACTAATTGCTAACCAACGGAAAGAATTAGCCCATCACCAAATGAACAAGAAAAAAGCTTGAAGTAAAAGATCCAACTTTGTTCCCAACCCGGCTATACCAACCCGTCTCCCACTTATCTGAGAACGACAATACCTTTGACATCCTAATTTCACTCTTGGAGGAACCAATCTCATCTAAATGAAGTTGTAAGTGTCACATATCAGACAAATTTTGACGGAACATTTTCCTCAAGGCAGTGAGTTCCTTTTAACTCACTGACCCATACCTACGGATTCTTTTGAATCCAGCCGCTTCCAGCGGCTGATGATTCACAAGCCAATAGGAGAGGCGTCTCTGAATGGGATAGCTATTTTTGTACGAATTTTACCAGGACGAGTATCACGTGATCGATTCATAGCTGTTCTAGATCTGAAACCAAACTAATTTATAGGAAGCCTCTATCTAGTCCGATCCTGCAATAACTGACCATCAAATATAATACTGACGTGTAGCATTTTCGGTACACTTTTTTTGCTTAAATTATCATTAAACATAAAAAAGAAGTGAATTTGGCGGTGAAAGCCCATTTTGTACTGCCATTGATCACGTGACGGATCCATCTCATACAGCTGAAACCAAAACAGAGTGCAGGCGGGACACCACTCTTTAAGATGTCATCGGCGATTTGACTGCTCCTACACTCTTTGGTACACTTTGTCTGAAAGTTAGGCATATAAATGTTGTATAACCGGAAAGTGCTATTTTAGTACGAATTTTCCCACGAGTATTTCGTGATCCAAAGCTGTTCTAGATCTGAAACCAAACTAATTTATAGGAAGCATCTAGATCATCTATAACTGACCATCAAACATAATACTGACGTCCTTCATTTTAGGTACACTCCTTGATGAAATCTGCATTAAAATATCAAAAAATTATCAGCAATAATGTTGTTTATTGGCCTCTGTACTAACGGCTGAATACGCGGCTGTAGTATCTGGCCGAATACGCGGCCAGGTTCACTCTGATTTGTTTCGCTCGGACAGGTGTAGCGTGAAATTAGGTTTCTATGAAATTCAGACTCATTGGTAATACCACGCATGCGTAAATATGATAATATGAAGAGTGACCGGTCACGTGAGAAGAATTAACCAATAATAGGGAAAAGGGGTCCGATTTTCATAGGGGTCGGATTTTCATGTGACACCGGTGCCGTACCTAGTCTGGTTCCGCTAGATCTGACAATTATTCCCGACGCTCACGTCTAAATTGTAGGTCAGGCCAACCTCGTCCCCAGTGCTTACTTTATTTCCAACGTCGTTTCTAAGAGCAGGTAGTGGTAGGCGCGTACTGCTTGACACCCTGGGGACGAGGTTGAGGTCAGTCAGCCTCAGTGGCTAAAAATAAACATATTGACATTGACGGCCCCTTTTCAAAGTTCGGCTTCGTTTCCGATTGCGCTTTATCACTTATAGCTGCTAATGTTCTGATCAAATTTGTAAACAAATCACTTGCTTCGTAATATTATACAGTTATGATAATACAGTTTGATATATCTGCAAGATAACATTGACTAATGCTGATCTGGAATCTTCAAAATTATGATAGGCACCCAAATAGCACTGTTAGCAGGCGGAGCCGAATGAAGACCGAGTGAAGCGGGCCCCGAACCCCACGCCGTAATTTTTTTGAGCCACTTTTTGGGGGACCAAACATTTTTTTGGCCCCCCCCCCAAAAAAAATGTTGTGTTCTGGATCCGCCCTTTGAAGCCATGCGGCTATATATAGGTAAATCGTCGTTATGACATTTGGCGTTCTCACGCAATTACTAGTCTGCTAATAACAATTTTACAAAGGCTTTACTTTTCCAAGGGTGATTTTCTTATTAAATCAATGTGAAAATACAATTGTAAAAACTCCGACTTTTACACCCTTATTTTCCCATTCGATGGGTCCGGAAGTGCGCCACCAGGGGTAAACTTTCAGGCTCTATTACACATATACACCAGTGTTGGAGCAAAGGCTTAAACCTTCAAGACCAAGGCCAAGGCTTTGACCCTCAAGGCCAAAGCCAAGGCTTAGACCTTAAGTCTCGAGGCCAAGGCCAAGGCTTAACCCTCAAGGCTAAGGCCAAGGCCAGTCACATGACACATCATCACGAATCGCCCATTAAGAAGAACAACATACACTGTTTTATGACTGCATCAGATCTATTAAAATATAAGTTCAGGTCTTCAATATGGTTTAACTAAAACAAAATAAAGATTTACTTCTATATTGACGCACAATTCTTCCGAGTGTAACAAAAGGGGGATCCAAGAAACTGATTTTGGAAATTTTTATTTGCTGGGCCAACATGGTCAGAAATATTAGCATTATCTAAAACAGATACATGCAAATCTTTAGCACTTATCTATAATCTATGCTATAAAAGTGGAAGTGTGCCCAACTTACAAATCTACAAGGGGTTTTCCTCCTCCATGGTAATACGATTAAAATGGTAACAGCAAAATTTCGAACAGATTTATCTGGAAAATGCAAAAATCTATGGGCCTTGAAGAGCCTTGACTCAAAATTGCAAGGCCGTGATCCAAGGCCAAGGCTTTTGCCCTCAAGCCTCGAGGCCAAGGCCAAGGCCCTAAAATCCAGCCTTAAGGCAGCCTTAAGGCCAAGGCCCAGCATCAAGGCACTACATCACTGATTCATTATGCAAAAATACATTATACATTTTTTTGTGCATAATATGCACAAAAAAATGTATAATGTATTTTTGCATAATGAATTTTTGAATAAAGGACGCTATGTTACGGAAATCGTTACAGGCTATCGTACAGGAATTAAATATAAATCGAATCACCGTTCAGATTTTTGTTTTACATATAAACGTTACGAGTAATATTTAAACAACACAATTGGGACAATTCGGGAAGACGGGTTGGTGTCTTTTACGGCGTTCAGGGGTTCCTGGAGGATCTGATGATGGATCGGGATTCTGTGAGAAATTCGTCCATAATGAGCTGCTGACCAGTAACCAGTCACCTGAAGTTCCATGGTGCCGACGAAGTTGAGATCTAGATTGACCGGGCACACCGCACTGGTCCACCACACCACCCGGTGTTAGCCAAACTGCAGCACTATCAGCTCGGCGCGCTTCACGCGTCCGAGACCTAGTATTCACTGCCGGCGTGTCTTCTCCGATACAACTCTCGTCAAGAAAAACTATCGATACACAAAATGTAACAGAGTAAAAAGAATATTAAAGTACATAGCGCAAGCAACACGTAGCAAAGTATTCATTAGCTAAGCCTTTGTTGGCTGATAAATAGGTATTTGACAGCTGGAGTATTTCCCGATTGTCAAAAAATAAACAAGTGCGAGTGGCCCAATAAGCTCTTGCAAGAATTTATCAAAATGATTCCTGCCAGAGCTTAAAAATGCGAACATGGGCGTCGCAGGGGGGATCAAGGGGGGCGCTTGCCCCCCCCCCCCCCGACAAGCAAAAAAAAAAAGAAAGGGTGAAAAGAATCTGGAAAATGCTGGAAATTATATGGATTTTTTTTTGGGGGGGGCGATGTGCTTTGCCCCCCCTCTAGAAAAAAATCCTGGCGACGCCCATGCTCCCAAAAATATGACGCCGATAGCAAATATGGAACACCATACTTTGGATTTAATTTTATACCTAGACTTATACAAAGCGATTTGTGATAAATACCACGTGACTATAACATTATACTGCACATTATGTTGCCTCCATTTACAAACCTTTCATAAACATCTTTCCAATTGTTACAAACAATTTTTGTTGTTTTTTGTGATTTTTTGTGTGGAAAAAAATGTATTTACTTATTTATTTATTTATTACATTTCTTTACCCAGGGTATGCCCAAACAGTTTAAAACTGGTTTCCATTTGGGGCCTTGCATACACTTCTAATGACTATACACATGTACAAATATAATGCATTACAAATACATACAGCACAATGAAATAAAATGAAAGCATACGAGACTACTGCATGATTGCAAAGCAACTATAATAAATATTGTACATCATTACAAAGAAACATATACACACATATAAAATTATATTGATAAACTAGCAACAATAAAAATCCAAGAATATTGGCATAATGAATCGTTTAAAATATAACCTCCCGAGTAAGATTGTATTAACATTGTATAATTCATTCATCTTACCATATACTCAATCTTGACTGTAACAAATTACTCAGTATACGAAAAGAGCGGTTCGTGTAATTAATTCTGTTTTAATTCTTGTTTTACATGGACGTCTAAGATTCATATACTCGGCGTAGCACTATAGGAGAATTTTGTTGGTCTAATTTAACAGAACGTCAATGTCTAAAAATAGTGTTGTTTATCGAGGCATCTCATACTGGGATAGTTTTGATAATCTTAAATCACTACCCTCTCTGTCTTTGTGAAAAAAATCAGAGCTCTGTTCCTCGACTCATATTAATAAATTAAGGTGGTTTGTTTATGAAGTAATAATTAGGCCTTGTCTCAAACTTGTCTGTCTCGTGTTGTGTTTTGTTAGTATGTCCATGTTACGGTACCTTGGTTGTACGTTTGTCTGTCCGCATTGGTAGGGCACATAGACGTTTCGCTTAAACCTTACACCCAAATGTTGTCGTTTAATTTGGTAATTATTTTAATCAATGTGTACATATAGTATCTTAATACCACATATTGTATTCCTTATGTAATTTTACACGATTGTACATATATTGAAAAGACTGACAGCATTTAAAGAAAAGTTACAGTAAAACGGCAATTACGGTCTCAGTCTGAATTTCCTATATCCATGTGACCCGAACCAAAGGTACTTTTGTATTTGGCCTTATTAAGTGTTATGAAAAGGCAAAACTGTGAGCAAATAATTGTCTGATTTTATTCCTATAAATTAACAGTTAGGCACACCTCAAGGCGATAGACTCGACCGTGGAGAGGCAGTCTGCGGATTGTTTTTCAGAACAAGAAATCTACACGTAGAAGAGGCAAAGTGCAAAGTACTGTGTAATTAAGAGGTAAGTATTTTTGAAAAGTATGTTTTTTGTGTGACTTTGTTCATTGGTTTAGGCTCCCCTATATGAAGAATATGGAACAAACCGAACCAGGTGCACTGCTATATGGAAATATTTTAAAGTGTGTCAAGTCCCCCCACCCCCACTTGAGTGCACACAGTCGTGTTTTACTATACGCCTGAGGACAACCTATTGTGTTTCCCTTTGTCCCTGTACTTTAACACTTTCCCATAGACTAAGCACGTAAACGTACGAGGACGGTTTCGAACAAAAGCACCGTCGTTCGAGGACCGAAAGGATCTTTTGTTCTCCCTTTGTGTGTCTGTCCTCGATTGTAATACAATACAAGAGCACACACCCTTACACAGGCATATAGAAGTGGGATATTTCCTTCGTTCTCGTGTACAAAAATGTTGCAATGTCGCACACTAATTTCCAAATGCTCTTATTTTAACCAGAATTAATTTCCTGGACTGAAATTTGGACTTCATATCCCTTTTCTAAAACTCTTCCATTTGCGACGGATCCACCCACCTTCGAAATTCCTAGTTTTTGAGTAAAATCCATATATCTATTTCGTGAAAAACTTGCTGGGTACCAAAACGGTATCCCGCAGGTCGGTGCGCATTCCGTGTGGGGTACCTCCCATCGGTCCTACTAAAGTGCGTCAACAAGCGTCAACAAGCCTCAACGGTCGTGAACGAGCATCAACAAATTTTGTACATGCTTTTGAACATTAAAAGTAGCTTTATATGGTAGAAAAGGCAATAAAGAACATCTTCTGCATATCAATTAAAGTTCAAATTATTCAAAAACTTGGGTTTTTGTAACGCGAAATGTACGACGAATTAATTTTGTCGATTAGTGTTGGCCGCCATTTTGTTTGGATGGCGCTGTACACTTCGCGCATGCGTAGTATGGCTCTCTACACTTCACGCATGCGTAGTAGGGCTAAGCTTCACGTAAACAAGATGGCGGCCAACTTTAATCGACAAATTCGTCGTATATTTCGCGTAAAAAAACCAAGTTTTGAAATCATTTTAACTTTAATTGATATGCAGAAAATGTTCTTTGACGCTTTGTCTACCATATAAAGCTACTTTTAATGTTCAAAAGCATGTACAAAATTTGTTGATGCTCGTTGACGACCGTTGAGTCTTGTTGACGCTTGTTGATGCTCTTTAGTAGGACCCCCTCCCATTATTCCGGTATCCCATAAGGCAGTGTTTATACGTTCACGTTATACGGCATTAAATATACCATGTGGGGCAAATTGATCTGAACGTGCACTAATAAATATTTGCATTTATTCAAGTTCACAACAAGTATAAGGCTATTGGTATTTCAATTTTCATTTTCAAAAGTTCTACTGTCCATTTTTGGTACCCCATGTGTCATCAAGGCCTCATGTCAAAGACTTCTATGAAGGAAAACAGGTTTTGTGATCTTCGGCAATGTATTTCATCATCCTTTACCTACTTTGAAAATTTGGAAGCCTATGGAGTGGCAAATTCTCTATTTCCTTTTTATTTTATTTAGTCACGATCAACTGTTTAAAGTTACCAACTCAAAAGAAATTTCAGCACCAACGGGGCACTATGTCGTCTAGTTTAGATGAACCTGGACCAGGAGATGAAACTGAACCATTGTTTGGTGCTCCTAGCACTGCTGATAAAGTTGGAAATGATCCGAGCTCAGTGAAACCTGAGCGGCACTTGAATCGTAAAACTGGCTTAAATTGTTCGATAGGTCTGAATGTTTGCTCATCATTAATTAATAATGAGCCAAAACGAAATCTTTCAGTGGTTGGAAGGGTGCACCTATTTGATAGAAATGATTCAGTTCCACAAGAAAGAGGAAAAGGGGGGTTGGAAAAATCCGAATCTGAAAAACATGCTGTGGGGGTTGGTGAAAAAGCAAAAGAAGACCCATCAGATCCTTGTGAGGCTCGTCACTATACGAGCGTCCAGGGAGATGGAAACAAGTTTGTATCAGTTCCACCTGGATATCAAGGCAATCTGACTGTACATTTTTAATAAATACATTCCATATTGTGTGAAATTGTCCGTTCACCTTTATATTAACGCAAGTGCCTCCAATTGGAAAGCCTCTTCTTTGGTTTTTATACATGTATTTTTAGGTGGACAAGATTGTAATTTTAATACTCAATTATCGTAAGTACTTGCATTTCGTATTTTGTATTTTTGGTACTTAACACGGCCGGCCCCTTGAAAAAAAAAATCGCTAAATGGGTTATCTGTGGCTAAATAAAGCTAATAAAAATAACAGTAATTATCATGTGAATGTTTTTCTTGGTCATAATATGTGCTTCATAGTAAAGCTGTACGTAGGGAACATTTATAAGTTTTCTTAAAATAAACCAGGATAAGCAGGATTACTGTACTTGTACAAATCTGTAAATAAGTCGCAATACTGAAATAATGATATTATATTTTTCGAAATCACTCCAATCATGCCGATAGAGATAGATATATTAAGTGTTTAAAAAAAGTAACTTTAGGCCCCCCAAAAAAGTCTCCAGTTTCTGGTATGCGCGCGCGTCGCCGTAGCCATGCGCGTCGGCAAAACGAAAAAGTTTTTTTTTTCAATAGACCGCTTGCAGACGCGTTCGATAATCGACGCGCGAAGGCGCGCGACGCCATGTTGTGGGACAGGCGTATATCAATTCACGCGGATTTTGTCCCATAACATGGCGTCGCTCACCTTAGCGCGTCAATTATCGAACGCGTCTGCAAGCGGTCTATACAAGATGATGTCTCAAAACCGCCAAACTCACTGGTTTGACTGGAATCCTGCTGCTGCACAATTTTAATGTATTTTTAGATGGGGTTATGATCGAGAATAAGCTTTATGTGGCCTCTCTGGACTCCCATATGTTTGCACTAAGTTTAGTCGGGCACCATTTGCAGTCATCAGCCGACATTTGAAGCAAAAAAAAAAAAAACAGGTAAAAAAAAAAGAAAAAAAGCCGCGTCGCCGCACCACTTTTGGGGCAAGCTCCATACCAGAAACCGGAGACTTTTTTTTTGGCCTTATAGTGGACATCAACCTGTCGCCTTCAGAATACTTTTCAAGTGCTCTGCCAAATTAACTGAAAATTATTTTTTAAAGGTTTAAAAAGGCTTCAGAGAACTATAACAATACTTGGGAAATTAGTTGTGTAACTAAAATTTCTGAAATTTTACATTTTGAATGTTTTTTTTTTACATGCACAACTCAATCTTGCGAGTTTATACGTGCCTTACGTCAACAAGCGAATTATTTGAAGCTTGACAATTTTATTAAAATAGTTTTAACTTAAAGCCAAACGAAAAAAAAACCTAAAAAAAGAAAGTGTACTTAAGTGCAGCTGAACCTTCTATATGTACATTATTTTGTTCTTTTTCCAGTAAGATTACAATCTTCCAGTTCAGTTTAGAATACCAGAACTTAAAACTTGCAGAATTGTTTAGTAGCTTTTGTTTTAATTGTTTTAATCTTTGCAAGTATGACTTGTATTCAATTTTGTACAGAATTGATATGCGTTTTCTGCATGTACATACTTGCTGAAAAATTCTGAATGCTTTGAACTTGGGTGGAATTTTATGCTGGCAAAACCAGGCAGAATTTCCTGTTTTTACTACTTGCAGAGGAGTGTGTAAAAAATTCATGGATCCGCAACTGTTATATACTTTGCTAAATAAGAAAAATATTGCAATCAAAAACGTTAAGAATTATATAACAACTTTGAAAAAGATATCATTGTGTTGTGTAATTGGCAAATGTCAAGTTCTTATTTATGCAATGTGTAAAGTTTATTAACGTGTAAAGAAATAAATAGTAACCACGCTTTTAAAGCACCCCTGAACATTGAACAGGGTCAATCTGTATAAATGTAGATTTGCTGAGAGTGAATAATACGGGGTGAATAACAGAAAAGGAAACCCAGATGTAAATGTAGATTATAAAAATATCTTCGAAATATTTTCAAAAAAGTTAAAGATCATGTGAAACGCCAATGTGTCCTCTTTCCAACGATGCCTTGATTGTGTGTCTGTGGCCACGGATGACTGAGCATGCGTCATTATTCTGTCAAGTGTCAAAACCTGCACTGGGCCAAGTTTTACCTGGCTAACAATAGATTGCTGGCTAAGAATAGATTGATTTGTTAATGCAAAGGTTGAAATGGACTAGACTTCATGCAGGGCTTTATGTGGAAAGAGGTGGTGGCCACTTTGAAGGCATTGGGCCACGAGGGGTTAACTTCAACAAAGAGAGTGGTTAAATCACTGTGTCAAAAAGGAATAAATTGTTTTAAAGAAACAAGATGTCTTCTTTCTTTAAGCTGTTCAACATGCCCAAAACCTGGCTAAGAATAGATTGCTGCCCAAAATAGTAGTTACCTTTTGCACAAACTTGGCACAGTGCAGGTTTTGACCCTTGACAGAGTATCAACGAATGCTCAGTCATCCGTGGCCACAGACACACAAGCAATGTATCATTGGAAAAAGTATTTGAAATTCTTTATTACATTTTTTTATAATTGACATTAACATATGGGTTTCCTTTTTAAATTTTTTTATACATCCTGTGTTTCTTAAAGAAAGAACGCGGCACATTGAAGGGAATACAAACAATCTTGTTAATATTCACAGTATCGAAAGCAGCACTTTGAATTTTGACCATGCTTTGTCAAATGATAATAGTTAGGTTTATCTTCAATGTTTTCCTTCAAAATTTGGAACTGTAAAAATTACATCGTATTTTGTAATATAATTACAGATGAGTAAAATGATGGATTATAATTTGATATCGAAACTGCTTTTGTTTAAAATGTAAATTACTAATACACATAATGCAATGATCGAGGTACGTGTTGTACACACCCAACCACTCGTAGCAGAACTTCCTTAGGTGATCAGGGCTTTCAAAATGCTGCCCTTTCTCTGTGGAATAAGTTACCAGTTCATGTTAGAAATGCCACAAGCTTAAGCCATTTTTATAGAATGCTGCTGAAAACGCATCTTTTCCAAAATGCTTTTGATTTGTAACGGGTTTTTATAGTAAGTATTTTTAATGAATTTGTGGTAAGGTTAATGGTTCTCGTATTTTAATCCGTTCTTATTGAACTTAACTTGTATGTAATACTATATTTTTTTAACGATGTACTTCTGATCCTGATTCTTATTTTAATGTTTCTGGTGATTTTCATGTATTTTAATCAACACTAGCTTTTATACCCAGTTTATTGTTTTATATTTGTACAGTGCATTTGAATATATGTTACATACATAGAATTAGCGCTTTATAAATATATTATTATTATTATTATTAAATGACGGCATCGGAAGCGCCGAGGTTAATAAAGCGTCCAAGGGCGTCAATCGCTTCTCAAAAGTGGGAGGTGGAATACCTTGATCATGTTGAACTATTGAGAGCGCAAAGCTTAAAGCCCTTACAGCATGCGGCGTGGGGATCCGGGCCCGCTTAAGGGCCCCCGAAAAAAATTGAATTCTAGACGCTGTGGTGCGATCTGACGCAATTTCTGACCACTTTAACCAATTTCTTTTGAGCAAAAAATAATCATTTAAGCATCATTTTCGAGTTCGGAGTCATTAAATCAGCTATTCTGAGCTATGGATCTGGAATCAATATAGGCTACAATTGTTATTTGTGGACAAAAAAGTGTCGGGACAATGATACCCCCACTTTAAAAACTGGGGGGGGGGGGGGGGGAGATGTCGCCCTGCGCTCCCTTTTGTGGCGCAGATTGAACTTGACGAAAAGGTTCCCAGTGTCCTACATGGCTTGGCGCCGACAACCTCGGTTTGGAAGCCAACTTGAAATCGGTTTATTTTACGATACGTGGGTGCATCTTCAAGACACATAAAAAATAAGTGGACCGAGGCGCTCATTATAAACGTTCACTTACTTACATCGCGTATTTTCCTTTTAAAATAAGCATTAGGGGAAACAGACAAACAACATCCTACAATCCCAAAATCCCAACCCCAAACACAAAACACAAAAGTGGTGATGGTCAGCGAGTCAACAGGGGCACTTGTTAAAATAAAAAAGGCACTCTTTAAAAATATTTGGGGGAAGGGATTTAAACGCTGGTGAAAAATGGGCACATGAAGGGAAAAGGGCCGTCTTTACAATATATATTGGGGGGGGGGGGTTAAATACCACCCTTACCACCCCCTCCCCCCCCCCCCCCCCTTGCTGGCTACGACTCTGCAACTCTGGATCGCATTTTGATGACGTCATGATGACGTCACAAGTTTCTATAAAAAAATGGCATATATCTATGACTTTATATCCAAACTTCTTACAAAAAGAACATGGAATTTAGCGTCTTCCGTTCGTAAGATATGCAAGTAAGATTGAAAAAAAAGAAAACAAATCAATAAAAAATCACGACGTCATCATGACATCACCCAAATATATAATTTTCATTTACAACACATACCAGACTATGTACATACAGCGTTTCAACCCAATTGGTCTTGTATTTCTCTAGATACAATACTTTTAATTTCACACCTTTAAGATGACGTCACATGGCCAATGATTACATCATCGTGACGTCATTGTACACTTTAGCTTGGTCTGTGCCTAGTTTGAAGTCAATCTGATTGCATTTCATGTTAAATTGTGCAACTAGAAAATTTGTGTACAAAATCTATGGAATTTGGGAAAGAACAAGAGCAAAAAAAAGAAGAGAAACAAATCAGAAGAAAACATCTGGCTTTTCCGCTAATGGCGGAAAAGCCCATAACTGAGATATTGAAAAATTCTATATTTCAAAAAATGTATTGCTCTAAGAGAATTCATTACGTTTACTATATCATCCATCGTGAAATACATGTAGGTGACATGTATTTCTCAATTGTATAACAAGGCACACGTATTTCTAAACATCTTTACAAGTAAAGTTACAGTGCACTGTGATACAAAATATACAAAATATACATAACTTTACAAAAAGATATGGCACGTGTAAGGCTTGTAAAGGCGTTTCTTTTTTAAATATTTATATTAACATACAACATGTATTGCTTTCCTCTATGGGCCAAGTCAAATAATATTGCTAAACTAGGGGGATTTTCGCTACTGTTATCGGTCAAATTCATGTACAAGGTAAAGATATATTCTGTTTAATCATTCCAGACTTCTATTGTTTCAAATACTGGCTTTGTCAGACATCCATTGATGACCAAAAGTCAATAGACAATCCATTAACCCTCCTAAGTATGCAAACATGCATTCTGTGCCAAGTTGTCCTTTCAGTCAAAATCAATCAAGTGACTGTTTTCAACATTTAAGAATTTCCAGCCTACATAAAGCAGGATTGACTGGCTGTGACTGTTATGTTAATTGATACAGCTATGCTTTGGCTGTGGGTAAGTTGATGAGTCAGCTGTGCCCACAACTTGCCTACCTTGTCTGTTCATGGTCTGTTGACTGAGTTTGACTAGTCACAGTGCTTGCTTGACATATGATCTGACTGCTGGTGACTAGCCTTTATTAAAAGTATAGCAGGGGAAGTGGATGGAAATTTGGACTGTCTGTGACTGTTTAGCCCCACCCCATGATGTTCTGACCAATCAGAGCTGTTATTTATGTCTGACATGCGAGCACTTACATATAACGCGCACGGCTGGAACATGCAGCATGGCATTGGAGAGGCACACGTGCAGTGGGCGGAGCCTAATGAATTGATGTATTGTGGCTAGGAACCAATCGCAGACACCTTCATTTCACCGATGCCTTACGAATGCCTAGGCTGCGTACTTTTTATTCCTAGGAGGGTTAGGGGCAATGTCATGAATAATTCATGTTTATCCATGAGAACGGACAATGACATCAACAGAATTGTTAGTTACTCAACTAGTTACAATACATTAAAGCATTTTAAAGAGCGGTTATCGTCGAGCTACCACACAGTAGCCTAATGGATAGAGAGATGAGCTACGGATACAAAGATCCCTGGTTCGAATCCACGTCGTCGCTGCTCATTTTCATCAGCTATTTTTCTTCTCCAAATTTATCACTGAGATAATTTTAAATTAAGGGGAAAATAGAACGAGAACCTAAGTCTTGCAATGATTCAAAGGAAAAACTGAATTATTCATGACATTGCCCCTAACCCCCCTAGGAAAAAAATTACGCTGCCTGCATTTCTATTCAGCACGGCTGGAACATGCAGTGTTGCATTGGAGAGGCACACGTGTTGTTGCCTACATGTGCAGTGGGCGGAGCCTAACGGATTGATGTGTTGTGGCTAGGAACCAATCGCAGACACCTTCATTTCACCGATGCCTTACGAATGCCTGGGCTGATGGATCATAGTAAAGCCACCTGCATTTCTATTCAGCACGGCTGGAACATGCAGTGTTGCATTGGAGAGGCACACGTGTTGTTGCCTACATGTGCAGTGGGCGGAGCCTAATAGATCAATATATTTTGGCTGAGAGCCAATTGCGGACACCTTCATTTCACAGGTGCTATTACAAATATGCCCGGGCTGGTACATCATAGTACAGTCGACTCTCGTTAGTACAAACTCTGTTAATACAAAATTCTGGTTATAACGAAGATAAGGCCTTGTCCCGACTGTGCATTTATGTGCACAATTAATACAAAATTCCGATATAACAAACAATTTGGCTAGGTCCGAACGAGTTTGTATTCACGAGACTCGACTGTAAAGCCAAATGCATTTCCACATCCAGTTTCCCCTTAATGTATACAAGACTATTCCGTGGGTTTCAGCCATTGTCCGGAACAAAAGAAATATGCACCTAGTGGGGAAGTACCAGGATGGAAAATAGTACTGACATCTCCCCATCAAAAGACACTGGTAGAGGGCGCCCTAAAACCAAGCCTAACCAGGCCTTTGTTCTTACATAGTTTTCCTCATCCTTTATTCGTCCACTCTTTCCAAAGATGCAGTTGGTGATCTTGCTTGTTGGCAATCAGTCACTGCTAGAGGGCGCCCTTTGCACGCACAATACCGATCCTAATGACGTGATTGGTCTATTTTTCCTTCATCTGTTCACCAGGTTTTTGCTTTCTCAGACTGGCAGTCAGTGATCTTGCTTGCTGGTGATCTTTCCCTGCTAGAGGGAGCCCTTCTATCTACCTGTCCTCGGATTCGTCTTTTCCCAGGATGCGGTTGGTGATCTTGCGGGCGTGGTCCCTCATGTTGTACAGCTGGTCGTCTATGCGGCGACGCCTCTCATCGTTAGCTCGCAGTCTGTCCTGCAGATCCGCCATGCTAAGAAGGAGAAGAGAAAAAAACACCTCACCGAATATATCTTTTTAATCTATACTTGCAATGATAAATGATCTTGAATTTTAAAATTAATGTGGCCTGACGTTGCGAACTTAGCAAGTTCTTCTTCAGAGGCTAAAACAGAAATGCTAAAAAATCTTGAATTTGTGCATTCTCCGATCATTTTGAAAATAGCTGGAGAATGTGTTCAACGAGTGGCTGAAAATAAAATTTTCAATTTTCAGCCACATAAACATATTAAAACAATATCCTTTTGAAGAACAACTGTAAGCAACAAAACTAAAAACTACCATTGAACTAATTCTCCTACACAAATTTCCACTCCACGCAATATCTGCACTATTAAGCAGGAGGACATGGGTTCGAATCCCACCAGAGCAAGCACTGAGCACACTAGAGCTTTAGATGACAGCTTACTTTATATCTGTTAGGGTGGGTTAAACTAAAAGCCACCAAACTCGACTTGGTAACAATTTCCTTGTGACCAAGTCTTGTTAGTCTTGATCCAAGACTGAATTTGAATTTTGTTACCCTAATTTATCAAGTCCCAATCCCGGGCAAGCCCAGTCAAGACGCTGAGGTGACAGAGGAGAATATAATACATATCCAGACTTGGAGCAAGGCTAGGTCTTCTTTGCTTCACAGCTCTAGTATCCAAAATTGCCTTGGAATTTCCAAAATGAAGTCGTAAATGAAATTGTTCTCTGGCCCCACTACCCAAAATGCATCTTTTGTTACCAGTCTTCCGGCTTGAGAGGTGCCTCTGTCGCCGTCTTGTTTGCAACCAGCTTGGCCCGTTGAGTAGCTAGACGCTTCTTAAGAGGTAGGACTTTTGGAGATGAACCATCTGACTGACCTGATCAACAAGTGCATAGAATAGAAATGTAGATTGCAAACGAAATACAATCACACAAGATATTTCAAAATATAGAATTGGTATCCTCGTACATGACAGACTCATCTTATAATATTTTATTCAGAAAATTCAATTGAACTGATGGCTTGGACTGAGTTGCAATGCGATGGCCAAGTGGTATTGACTCCATGCACAAATACCTCTCTCAACAGAGACAGAGACAGACAGAGACAGAGTTAGGCAGACTGACACCTGGTACATATGAAAGGTAGGTCTGTGCATTTTCAATAATTGAGTATTCGATTATTTTACTTGGTGCACCAGCATAACTGGTCCCCTATCGGGACTTGCATGTACCAGTGTTTGTTTTTAAATTGACAAAGAGCTTCTTAAAGTACTACGAAGAAGAGGTAGCGCAATGATATTTAACTGATTTGCAAGAAGAAATTTGGGCTATTTTTTTCTCATGGAAGCTCTCAAATCATGCCCAAAAATGACTTACTACAAAAATGTAGCATTTGACAAAAAAAAGGACCTGCAACTGAAACGATTAAAAGCACATCCTGGATTTTTTTCATTATCTCCTTCAGGCCGCTCAAATTTTACGAATATTTGAATCAAAAGAAATAACCCTATTCAAATATTCAATTGATGATCGATTATTTGAATATTTGGTTTATTCAGCCCTAATGGACGGTTTTAAATACGGAAATCGGCTGATCTGAGGATAAAGTCTCAAGCCTGATGTGAAAACTGTGCAGTTTAAATTCAGGAATTAGTTAACATTCCTCAATGTATCCTTACCAGGTGATTTCATGATCCTTGGCTTGTGAACCTGAGCCCTCCCTCTGTCTGGCGACTTGGATGATGGAGAAACTCCTCTTTCTCTGTTACCCAGGGAAGTCCTGGCCCCTTCCCTACCCTTCCTTGGACTCTCCCAGCTTTGCCTTCTGTCGTCCTGCTGAAACTCCGAGAGATCCAACGCCAATTCAGAGTCCTCTTGAGTTGTGTGGGTGATTGAGGACTGCCTGCGGTCTGTGAGACCAGAGAAGTTGGAGTTATTTACGTTGAGGGAGTCACTATGGGTAGCAGGATCTTGCTGTTGGTGACCGGCGATGTGGCGGTTCACAAATGCAAGCATCCCTTGTAAGGTTTCAAAGTTTTCGGCATCCTCCACGCTGTCAGTGTCCGAGAAATGGCCCAGGGTTGCCGGCTCGTTCGTGAACCTGCTGCGTGAGTGGGCATCCTGTGGATCGTATCTGTGGGTTGTTACAGGTTCATGGAAGTCCTGACTGATGTACGGCCCCCACGACTGGTAACCAGTGTCCGTCAGGTGCCTTGAGTGTTTACCATGGTGCGGGGAACCTGTATGCAAATGCATGTCCTGGAGACCGTTGTGAAGGGTACCGGGGACGTCGCCACTCCCAGCTGATGGCAGGTTGTGGTCTGAGGCGCTCCGACGCAGGACAGTCCTCGGAGATTGGAAATGGGGGGACGCGGGGGACATAAGGGGAGGGATGAGGTAGGGAATGTTACCCCTGCCAGGGGTGGAGGAGGGGCGGTTGGGAGGTTGGTGAGTTGTAAATTGGGTGCCGAAAGTGGCTCTCTCGTAGCCTGATATGCGGGCATTCAAGCGGGCAACTTCTGCTTCCTAAAAGAGGGACAATAGCAAAATGCTCAAGTTGAGATCATTTTAAACATTAACTCAGTATGTGGTGACAGGTCTGAATGAACCTTTATAATGTGTAAGCCCTAGTTTTGCTGACTTTGGTATTCAGTGTTGACAGTGGTGTCATTGGCCAACCAAATCATCCCCTTCTTGGCCAGCAGTGATACTTCAGACTGGTGATGTTCTTCGCTAGAATCCACTTCCAAAACTCCACAAACAACAACTCTTAAAATCCACAATCTCAAGTTCACAACCCAAGCTTACCTTGAGTAAGATCATAAGATGGTCTCACTGACTGCCTGGATCACATCCTTTGTGACTCATTCTTCAGGCCAGCCATCTTCCCCTAAAATCCACAAATCAGCCATCCACAACTACAAATCCACAACCTGAAATCCACAACCCCAGCTTACCTTGATGACGATGGCCTCATTGGCCGCCTGGATCACCTCCTTCCTGGCTGCCAGCTCATTCTCCAAGCCCGTCACCTTCTCCCTGAGTGACTCTACCTCCTGTCTGCTCCTTGTCTCTGCTTCCTTGAGTCTGTTGATCTCTAATCGGTGGCTGGCCTCCAGTTGGTTCTTAGAAGCCAGCAACGCTGCGTGGCTGTCCTGCAACTGTGCCAGCTGGTGAAACAATAAGGCATTTTCATCTATTAGTACTGGGTTTTGCTGTCCACTGGCGTGGACACATGACCTCCTGTGACTATTGGAAACTTCTTACAACTTGACCATAAAGCTTGCCGGAGTTTTGCTAGCTGATCCTAATCTCATATGGTACCAAGAACGAAAACCATTTTTTTGGTATTTGGTTTTGCTTTCTATCTATGCTATTCAAGTCGTCTAACAACAGGCAAGGCCCTGGAAAAGGCTGGTTAATATGAGAGCTTCGCGGTTCCTATTGAAAAAGCACTATACATCACACTCCAAAGTTAACGTATAATTTTGACAAATTGGATTGAATGACATCCTGCCTGGCGATATTTCTTACGAAAGTTGAAATGGAAGGCAAGAAGATCAGTCAATACTACCCACCTCTTGTTCTTTCACCTCCATCTCCCGTAGCTGCAAGTCCCGGATGCGTTCCAGCTCCGCCCCGAATCTTGTCTCCGTCTCGGCCTCCCGCGCCATGACGGCCCCGTGCTCCTCGGCAAGACGGGCGTGGTCCTCGTCCTTGCCATGGCACAGGTCGACAGCGTCCTCGTAGTCTCTGGCTAACTGATCCTGATAAGAAAACGTCATAAAGATGAGAAGATAGAGGATCGTTTTCCAAAACGTGACTTTGTCTGCAGCTTTGGCACTAGAACATTTTGACACTTGAGCCAAATGAATTTCCAATAATAGGGCGTCATATTATTCCCATTTGATGTGAAGTGGAGGACAGTGGACCCAATAAGCCAACTGAGTCTGTGAATCCCTTGTGAGAAATGTAAAAATTATGGATTTGGGAAACTGAAGTTAAAGCAGGAGATAAAGTCTATAGTCAGAAAACGCTCATTACAAAAAGAATACTGTCGGCAACACTATGTGCAGGGATTGTTTAGAACAATTTGCAGCAAATGTAAGTGCACTGGTCTTTTTTAAGGTAAGGCTAAGCACACAACTTTCTAAGGAGGCTTCTAACACTTGCTTAAAATGGACAGGAATACCCACACACACGTTAACAGGAGGATTTGAAGCAATGTAATAGACTTAGATTAGGACAGCTTTTTGTGGTACAGTTAGCATAACTCTGCAACAGCAAAACTACAGTTCCCTATAACACAGCTGTCCTCGCAAGCTTGTGATCCAACTTGTTACTTACTTGACTACAACTGTCATAAAATTGGAACCTATCATGTTTTTTCGACTGATGGGGACAGTGAACGATTTGAAGGCATGGCACCTTTTCTCTCTGGACCTGCGCCAGTTGTCGTCTAGCCTCAGTCAGCTCTACATGGTGTCGTTGCATCTGTTCTCTGGTCAGTCGTAGCTGCTGACCCTGCGCCAGCTCTTCCTCATGGTGGCTGCTGCATTGATGGCTCAGGTCCTCTATCCTCTGTGGGGATGAGAGAAAACAAAGTTCAATCTCAGGAGGAACATTCAAATCGTGGGGATAAGCTGCGGGATATTTTCCTGATGAGCCATTTTAGTTGGGGAAGGTTGATTACATGACTAGATGGGTATGTGTATGGAATTGTTTATTATGATTTCATTCATTCTAACCAAGGAAAATACTGCAGAGTGATTTTAGTGGATACAATACAAACAAATGCATCTGGTTGAAATGCTAGTTAACAAACTTTCACTGGCAAAAAAAATTCCAACTTCCTAGAAATGAAACCTAACTGAAACTGTCCGATTTGATTGACCTATATATCTTGGGTTAACCAAGATATAAACAAGGAGCAGTTTTGTAAAACTTATCCATCAATATGATAGTTAAAATGGCAACTTACAAGCATACTCAATAGTTGGAAAAGGAGTTTAGATGTTCTTGCTAGAATTTTGCATCAGTAAGATTACGGTTTTAAACATACAGTACTCATAAGATTCATTTGCAGGGCATAACCTACAAATGAATCTTATAATAAACGTTTTAACTCTGATTATTTTGTGGAAAAAACTCCTTCAATGTTTAAATAACTCATTTCATCAAGTAAAACTCATGTGTTTTCACAAGAGGATTTATGTTGACCTTTTGTAACTGGGTGATCTCCATGGCCTTGTGGTTGATCTCACTCTTCTGTCGACTCACTACTTGCTCCAGCTGCTGCACCTGCAAGGCTCTCTCCTTGAGTGTCTCTTGCTGCTCACCACACCTGTCATCTAACTCACCAATCTATGGCAGAATATTGTAATTGATCACAAGTCAATTGCAAGTCATTCACAAGTCAAATGTAAACATTATATATCAACTCACAAGTTATTCATAATTCAAATCACAAGTCAAATCACAAGTCAATCAACAATATTACACTTAAAAACATCCACTATAGAGGATTGAGAGGGTGGGATTGAGATTGCAATGACTTGAGCAGAGACTAGACTGTCAAACCATCTCACCTTTCTAGAGCACTGTTTGAGTTCATACTGGCTCTTGCTTAGACTGTTCTCCAGCTGCAGGATCTTCTGCTCCGATTCGCTCTGGTGTTCCTTGACCGCCATATCTAGATGGTTTACCTTCACACAAATTTAGATCCTTCATTCACAGTTTCAAAAGTCACATTCCAAACTAATCAGAGTTAAGGTTCAAGACAAATATCTAGTCAAATCATGAGTTGAGCCACCTGTCAGGACACGCGCTAAGGAAACGATGATAAAGTACTTTTGCTTCTTTTTTCGAGTTCATTTTGATAGTTTGTGACTTGACTCAATCTTGATTACTTGTGGTGAATAGTAATAATATTGATTCCTTTTTCCTTCTTTAAACACCTTTAAACACCGGCGCTCTACCAACTGGGCTATCCAGCCCTATGTTGGATTGTGGTTTATTTTATTTTTCTATTCTGACAAGATTAAAAACTCATGTCAGCACCACCTGTGAAGCTGCTGTGTACTGTAACCATATCCTGAACCAACTAACCAAGCCAGCCAGCCAACCAGCCTACCTGGGCAGCTCTCTGTTGCAGTTCTCGTTGGCTGCTCTTCAGTGCTTCATCCATCTCCACCATGTCCTGGTCCCGATTCCTAGCCTCGTTCTGACTACGCCTGGACAATGGGAAAGACAGCAATGATATTATGTAACGTTCAGTCAAATTTCCCTTTGAAATACTACAGCATCAGTCCTTGCATGAAGGATGAAACTCAGGCTGAAAGCAAGACCATGTATTCCATAACACAAGTTGGTACACATTTGGTACACATAAGGTCACTCTTCATTTTTTCGCAGATGGTTGATTTCTTCAGAAGAACAAAATTTTACCTGTAAACTTCCACAATACACACCCCTGCAATCATGAATAAACAAGCCGAGTCTACGTTACCTCAACTCGTCACTGAGTTCCTGCATACGCTGCTGTTTCTGCTTGGCTTCAGCCCGGCTGCGCTGTAGCAGTCGCTGTAGTTCAGACAGCTGCTTGGTTGCTGTCTGCATCTCCAGCTGGGCCCGGCGCAGCTCCCCGTCCAGCTCCGTGGAGCGCTCCCTGTGAGACTTGTTCTCCTGCCTGGTGGTCTCCAGGGAACTCTCCTGGTCAGAAACTGGTGTTGTGAAAAATACAAAATCACTGATCGAGAACTAATTTTAACTACAGTCCTACTGATCCAGAGATGAAACTGGCCTTCGCAAAAAAAAACTGAAATTGGACCTTGGGTCCGAGCTGCCACAGCGTCGCGCAGTGCAGTGCAGCACATCAACGTGGGACCCAGTGATTTTTTCCATGTCATAGGTCAGTATTTAACCTTTCCTCCAGCTGGAAAAGGATCCGATCAGCGTTGGCCTAGGTGTTTCTACCGTAGAATCACTCCATTCACGACCGGTAAATGAGATTAAAACTACTGCACTTGTGCAAATTTTTACGTGCCGTATTCATTGACTTTTCATGGACTTTTTTTGGAAATTACAATGAAAAAAAAAATGATTTGTGGAAATTTTTTTAAATAATCATTTTTGTGGGAACGTTAAAAAATCTGAAATTTCATTGGAAAAGTTAAAAAAGTCTGATTTCAGATTAAAATCTGAAAAGTTTCATCTCTGCTGATCTTCACGGACTTTATGCACGTTGATGGTTGGGAATATATAGTTGACTATTTGGGACCAGCCAAAAGTTGTCACGTCATTGCAGGCTATCACTGCAAAGAATTGCAGGGAGCCAGGATAGAGATATTTGTGATAATCTTTGTCCACAGTTGTATGGTAATATTAGCACGACGGTGGAACACAACATACGTCACAAATCAACCAGTTGATCAAAAGTGCTCACACTTTTGAAAAAAAATCAAAGAACTTGGTCATTTTTCAATGATGGCAAATACTGTCTATTTATCAATTTCCCTTCTCTAGGTAGCTCTGCCTCTTTTTCTTTTGCCGTTTTACTTCTTCTGTAGTTGTTTAGTTCTCTGCTCATTTATTAGTGTACCCATGTCACGTTGCCGTTAAGAGAGGTTCTGTTAGGACTGATGTGTCAATTTAGAAAATATCAAAAAATTGAGAGCGTCAACATCTAGGGCACAGGTTCATTTTAGTTTATTCTGTAGTAAGTTCAACAAAAGTAAGACAGCATTTAAAAGCTACGTAAACATTGTTGTTCCTTTTGTCAATACTGAGGAGGTACAAACAAAGGACAATGCTGCGCTGGCTTTCTCTGACTCTCTGAGTGAATTATTGAGGCTTTGCACCTTTCTGTGTCATGTTGTCCAGCTGTAGTTTAGCCTCTCTCAGGTCCATATCTAGCTGGGTTGCCTTGGCTGCGTGGTTGTCGCAGTCCTTCTTGGTCTGGCTGAGCTGTAGCTCCAAGTCTGCTGACCGGGTTTCAGCTTCGGCTAGCTCCGACTGGGCTTGACTGTTGAAGGAAGTATAAAAAGATCTGACTGTATGAACATTTAGTTAGGTTACGCTCCGAGTCTGTTGAACAAGTGCCAGTCTTGGCCATCTTTGCCTTGGTTCGAGCTGCAGTTCCAAGTCTCAAAATTATTAGTTAGGGAAGGGTTTGGTTGTAGCTGCAAGTCTGCCCACCAAGTGCTGGCATGCTTAGCTCTTACCGGGCCTTGACTGATGATCTAGGAATGAAAGGTTCAGCTTGACTGCAAAAAATAAATAAAAGAAGTTCTTACAGTCAAATCGAGTTCATAATTTGCTTCTCAATTTCATTTAACTTCTGTGGATTTTCTTTTCTACAGGTTTTGAAGTTTTCTACAAGTTCTATAGATTTCTGATTTTTAAAGTTTTTTTGACAGACGGTGATGCAAACTGACTGTTTTCCCTACCTCAGAGCCTGAGTAGCTTCTGTCAACTGACTGGTCCTATCCTCCAGGTCCATGCAAGCCTGGTGTAGCTTCTTCTCGATCAAGGCGGCGTCTTTCTCTGCTGCTGTGGTCACATGGTTTAGACCCTTCTCCAGATGCGACACCTGTAGAGAGACAGGTTATGAAATTTGTTTTTCTGAAAATGATATTAACTGTAGTTTTTCAATAAACTTTTAACTCTGTGTTCACCTCAATGGTTCTTTAAGAAATTAAAAATGCTAGCGTCATTTTCTCCCCATTTTTTAATTTCAGCCATATTCAAGCTTTGAACCCTATTTCTTAGAGCTTTTGGCAAAATGTATTGCATATTTTTAAGTCTCAGCAAAAAACCTTAAGAATATACTGCAATAAAAATACTTCACATCCAAAAAATCAAAATGGCTATAACATTTATTTTTTAATAAAATTTCTGTATAGAACAAATGTTTTATTAACTTTAGATAACTCTTTTTTTTATATATTTTGAACAATGGAGTGCTTGAGGGTGGTTCCCTCGCCATATTCAATTCAATTCAATTCAATATTACATTTATTTCCATACTGAACAATACATAACAGAAAGCGAAATACAATATTGTGGAGGCACAATCCTAATAAGCCATGGCTTGTAGCAAAGTGCCTTAAGAAGAGAAAACAAAGACAAGAAATTATTTATTAGTTAATAAATTATTAGTCAAAGGGATCGGGAACCAGTGCTTGGCTATCCACATTTTTTACATGCTAAGCAAGAAACAGTAGGGAACCAGTCACAAGCAATGTAAATCACACTACATCTTAGCTGGTACCCTGCATCTGCTTAGCAAACACCTTAGCGACTATCCATTCACCTGGTGTTCCAGCTGTCCTTCCTTGTCCTCCAGCTCGGCCATCCGTGCCGTGCTCTGTAGCAGCATCTGCTGCCGTTCCTCAAGGGCCTGCTCCAACTCCAAGACCTGCTCGGCGCTCTTCTCCTGCTGGTCCCTGGCCTGCTGTAACTGCTTCTCAAGCTTCTTCGTCTGCTCCGTCAAAATATTCAACATACTCCGTATTTATAAGTTGTAATATAATTCCAATTGTCCTTAGTTTATGTGCAAAAGTTCTGGGACAATATATTTTGGCACTCTTTGTTGTAATTAACTTTATGCTTGCCCCTTGCCTCATCCCGTATGCTCACAAGGATCTGCCTATCCCCCACCCCATTTCTAACACAGTCTGTACACACCTCACTTTGATTGGTCTGTAGTTCGTTACAGTGTCTGTCTGTCGTATCATCCACACTGTCAATATGACCCTGGATCTCCTCCTGTCCCCCACCCCATGTATCACAGTGTCTGTACACACCTCACTCTTCTTGGTCTATAGTTCCTTATCGTGTCTATCCCTCATATCGTCCAGTCTCTCAATGTAACCAGTGAGTTCCTCTTTGCTGTCCGTCATATCATCCACACTGTCAATATGACCCTGGATCTCCTCCTGTCCCCCACCCCATGTATCACAGTGTCTGTACACACCTCACTCTTCTTGGTCTGTAGTTCCTTATCGTGTCTGTCCCTCACATCGTCCAGTCTCTCAATGTAACCAGTGAGTTCCTCTTTGTATCTCCACCTGTCCCCCACCCCATGTATCACAGTGTCTGTACACACCTCACTCTTCTTGGTCTGTAGTTCTTTATCGTGTCTGTCCCTCATATCGTCCAGTCTCTCTATGTAACCAGTGAGTTCCTCTTTGTATCTCCTCCTGTCCCCCACCCCATGTATCACAGTGTCTGTACACACCTCACTCTTCTTGGTCTGTAGTTCTTTATCATGTCTGTCCCTCATATCGTCCAGTCTCTCAATGTAACCAGTGAGTTCCTCTTTGTATCTCCTCCTGTCCCCCACCCCATGTACCACAGTGTCTGTACACACCTCACTCTTCTTGGTCTGTAGTTCCTTATCGTGTCTGTCCCTCATATTGTCCAGTCTCTCAATGTAACCAGTGAGTTCCTCTTTGTATCTCCTCCTGTCCCCCACCCCATGTATCACAGTGTCTGTACACACCTCACTCTTCTTGGTCTGTAGTTCCTTATCGTGTCTGTCCCTCATATCGTCCAGTCTCTCAATGTAACCAGTGAGTTCCTCTTTGTATCTCCTCCTGTCCCCCACCCCATGTATCACAGTGTCTGTACACACCTCACTCTTCTTGGTCTGTAGTTCCTTATCATGTCTGTCCCTCATATCGTCCAGTCTCTCTATGTAACCAGTGAGTTCCTCTTTGCACACTAGCAATATGACCCTGTATCTCCTCCTGTCCCCCACCCCATGTACCACAGTGTCTGTACACACCTCACTCTTCTTGGTCTGTAGTTCCTTATCGTGTCTGTCCCTCATATTGTCCAGTCTCTCAATGTAACCAGTGAGTTCCTCTTTGCACACTAGCAGTGCCGTCTCCAGCTGTGAGACGCGGTAGGCGTCCTCCTTGGCCTTGAGCTGCAGGGTCTGGGTGGTCTCCCTGTGCTCTCGAACTCTGTCATCGAGCTCCTTGTTGAGAGAAACAAGAGAACATGAATGCCATCAAAACTCTAAAACCCCCCCCCCCCAAAAAAAAAACTCAGATAAGGCCAAAAAAAAAAAATATTCGGTCTCTGGTCAGACCAGACACGCGGCTTTTTTTTTTTTTTTTTTCCTTTTTTTTTTTTCTTCAGCGTGGATTGTACAGACAAGGTGGGTACTATTTTGCTTTTTTGGTGTCCTCATGTACATTGGTGGCCTCCATAATTTGCCTTGGTGCTTTCGATCATTTACCTTGGTGCAATTTCCCATTCCTTGGTGCTCTTTGGTAAAAAAAAATTGAGGAGGTGCGGAAATAGAGGGCGCTGTTGGAGCTACCACGGAACATTTTGAAAAAAAAAAAGATCAACGCGCATGGTTAAAATCGATGCGCGCGCTGACCAGAGACCGACTTATTCTTTTTTTTGGCCTAATCCATGATAAGAAAAATGGACTACTGGACTTTGCTAGATGGAGCTAAGTGGCCTCCTTAGGAGAGCCATAGAAGGACATAAGCCAAGCAGGTTTGCAGTCATCTAACTCGCATGGGACCGTTAAACAATTAAGACCAGCTTTCACAACTCGTGGTCTACCTACAAAAGGTTGTTTCCGACAAATGTCTCTCCTTCACAAGTGCAGAATTCCGAAAGATTACCCAAAGGAATGGCGTAAGCATGGCACAAACACCACTGATCAATTTTTCAAACATATATTCTTCAAAGGATTCTTCCATTTTTGCATATTTTATGGCTGAATGTGCAGTAACACAAAGTCTGTAAACAAAGAACATTTCATTTTGTTCAAAAAAGCTCAAAATTATAAATATGCTTAATTCACATACCTTTTTAGCCAGGTCCAATTCGTCTTCCAGCTGCTTACTACGTGTCAGTTGAGATGTCAGCTCCCCTTGGGTTTCATCAATGGACTGGTTGATGCTTTCTAGCTGGGAGGTGAGGGCCTCTTTGCTTTCTTGAAGCTAGCAAAGATCACAGATAAAAGAGATCAAGTCAAACAAGTAAAAGCAGTAAATATTCCACGGCTTGCTTTTGTCTGACCGAAGTGCTAGCCTGTTGTCCTCTGACTGACGGAGTCACTGAAAGACTGACTGACTGACTGGCTGAGTCACTCCCCCACTGAGTACAAATGTCCTAAACTGAGCCTTTAAGTCCAGCTTCACTAAAGCAACCTGGTCTAATCCCTCACTGAATAGGGACTCTGGTTACTCATTATCACCTATCTACGCTCCAGTGATCTCGGGACAACAGACAGCAAGAAACTGAGTACACAATCACTTGGCTTGAGAAAGTCCACAGGAGTGGATGAAAGCTTGCCTACTAATCTTCAGGTTGGTAGAAGCTTAAACTACATGTTATGATCACCCCAACCAATGAAAGTTTTCTGTATAACACTGGTCTAGTTCTAAAAACAGATCCTGAAGCCAAGCACACCTTCCCTTCTCCCTCACTTTAAGAGATAATAAAGGAAGAAAATTACGTCTTGAGATGTGGATGCACAAAGAACAAACTTCTATGCGGGGTTACATGGTTGAAACTGATAGTACTATGAATCATGAAAATATTTTTGTTTCTTGTAGGCCCTTGGATAGCACTGAGTACAGAGTACTCTAAAATTGTTTCACTAGAGGGGAAAAACAAACATTTTCTTCCTGTTTTCCTTACAAAATTCCTTACATTCTTTTGCTGGACTATGATGGATTAAGTGCTGTTACTTTATATGAATTGGGCTTATTGTTCTAATTTTATGATATTGCTCCCAGACTCCCTCCAAAAAAAGCTTTTTGATTGTTGCACTGAGTTTTATTAAGTACATTAGGAACATTTCCTAGCAAAAAGTTACAATTGAAGGAAAAAAACTCTAGTTCATCGCCTTACTGCAACAAGCATAAGTTTACGTGGTACAGGAATGGCTAGTTTTGTAATTACCGCTTCAATCTGTTGTTGCATCTCCTGGCAGTGCTGTACGTGGAGCTCCTTGACCTTGGTCAGTGTCTCGCTGGTCTGCTCTGCTTCCTCCGACTTCCTCTCTAAGGAGTTCTACAAGGAGACAACGTGTAATGAGACGGCCGTGAGATCAAGTTGATATTGTTTTTGCGTATTATCTGTAAAGGGCTTCTGTTTTATAGCCTTTTTAATTGTTATAGTCCTTTTACCACCCCCGCCTAACCCTGAGTGGCTATCAGACTTGTAATGGGGGACTTCATAAAAAAAACCTTGCCTGGATCTCTCGTAGCTCAGCTGTTTGGTCCTTGAGTTGCTGGTCCAGCTCGGTCAGATTGGAGGTACATTCCTCGATGGACGCTGTCTTCTCTGCTAGATGCTCCTCCAGATGGGATATGAGACCATTCTTCTTCCCGAGCTAAATTTAAGGCAGAAACAAAAGCAATTAAGATTAACAACAACAAAGTGAGATACACAGACAACATTAGATTAGATTAGATTAGATTAGATAAGATTTGGTTTATTGCTATTTATATACAATTGTATACAATAGAAAGTGTAGTGGTTTTCGTGCTCAAAAACATTAAAAAATACATTAACAAATTAACAGAAAATTAACAAATTTGGGGACAGCAAGAGAGGCAAGTTGTCCAAGGAAATATTGGCATCTCAAATCTGGACACTGAATTATCAAACAAATGGTAAAACAGTTTCAGAGGCCAATTGGAAGTAAACTTGATGAAACTAATACAATGTAATTTTTTACAAATTTCAAAATTTCAGCATATTAAAATCAGTGAAACTGTCCATTTCTTTCATAAGTTAAGACCAATCTGGACAAGGAACCACTACACACTGAATGCTAGCACAATGCATCCGCCATTACTGGGGGCCTCCATAAGCATACAATGATTCAATGCCTGATTTATTCAATACTGGGAGATATGTTTGCCCTACCTCTGCCTCCAGTGTAGCCACCCGTCCCCCTTTCTCTGTGATCTGGTCCTGCAGTATCCTGAGCTGGGCATTGTAGTGGTCTAGCTGGGACTCCACGGCCGTACTGTGGGACTCCTGCTCCGTCAGACGTTCCTGTAAGCGCACCAGCTGGCCCGCGTGACGGGTGCGCTCCTCCTCTAGACGGTTGATGATTGACGTTAGCTCGTGGGCCTTGCGGTCACCTGGGTGGAAAAGGCAGAGCAAAGAATTCAACTGAAAGATGGCACAAATTGTTGAGAACTGAAGATGTCCAGAGCAAAAGAGTTCTTTGCTACAGCGATGTCAGGGAGAAAGTGCATAGACACAACCACTGTCAACCAGCGTGCAATTGAATCAAATGTCCAATGGTTATGGTGTTTGGACTCATGTGTGACAGTACGTGGGTTCCACCCCTAACAGGGAATTTGTTGCTTGTGTTCTTGGGTAAGACACTTTACTGCAATTGTCTCTCTCCACTGGCCAGGATAAGTGCGTACCCATGAGGGCATAGGCCAGATTGCGTTGCTCTTGAGCTGTTTCAGAGCTTTTGATGCTCATGCCAAGAAATCACGATTATGTGCACTTTTAGAATAAAATTAGTCATGCATCCTTTACGCCATACGTGCGTGATTGAGTACGCAGATGTGGTGTGTCCCTCCCAAAGGGGCTCACGAAGGTGGTCACGCCCTCTATTGTTCACACACGGAGTCCACTGTGATCGTGTCCAACTCACCAATCTTGTTTTTCTCCACCAGGGCAGTGAGTTCCGAGCGCAGTCCGTCCATGGTCCCGCTGCTTGACAAGGACACGCCGGCCGTGTCTCGCTGCCGAGCTGCCTGTAGACGCTGGTTCTCTGCTTCCTTCATTGCTAACTTCATCCTTGGTGCCAAAACAAAAAATTTAAATCACTTATTCATGAGATGGAATTTTTACTTCGGGTGATGTAAATTCAATATTTGGTTTTGCCCTTTACAGACGTATGTTTATATGAACAATGTATGCTCAGAGTTGTCCTGAGTGATTGTGAGAAAAAAAATTCACTAAGTGTAGGTCATCAAATGGATTCCACGTGACTGTTGATTGACTGACTTCAATAAACCTCTGCAGAGTCCGTACCTTAACTGAGCTATTAGAGCCTTGTTGCTTCCAGCGCCGACATAATCCAAATCGTCGCTCCAGCTGGTATCATAGGCGTGGTCAGCTGACAGGGCACTTAGGGCAGGGCTTCCATTCCTCTGGCTGGGGTGCACCCCTAGGCCTGGGTCCGAGGCTGGGCTGCTGGTCCGGACGGGGCGAGGGATGTCGTAGCCGTTGGTGGGGGCGAGGGACGAATCTCCAGAGTGCCTCTGAGTCAGGAATGAGAGAATGGGGATCAGATTTCTTCAGGTGATGTTTTTGTCCAAAATGTGCAAAAAAAAAGTTCAAGTCATTACAAGTCAGTGCAAGTCATTACAAGTCAACCACATAAAATCCAGTCTCAACTACACATAATCAAATCAAGTGAAAGGCCATTACAATAAATCCTCCCTGCCTAAACCAGTAACCAACAAGCCTCCAACATCAACTTCAGTGTAGCCTTTTTTTCTAAGGACGGATATACGATCGTACAACAGGGTCTTCCAGAACAGTAATTCCTCACAAGACAAATTGAAAGTCAGATTGTGTCCTCCTTAAACCTCGCTCTACCATCTGTCAATTAATCAGGAACCAAATTTTCACGCAAAGTCTGATTTAAAACTAATTAACTTCAGTAACTTAGAAAATGAGCACCTCAATTAAAAACAATAAATAGATTCTATAGTGGGACTGGAAACAAACATTTTGGCTCAAATTTGTTGGGATGAATGCTTACCTTGGGCCAAATTGTATGTTGCTATGAGGCAGAAAATAATGCTTAGAATAATTCTGTGCTAAGCATGAATCAGATGCCAATCTGTCAAAGCCGATTAATTTAGAAGACAATTTGGCCTGTTTTGGTTAATCAATTTTCTCTTTGCTTGGTACATTTCTGCACCAAGCAGAAAAATAAATCAAGAAAATGGATTAAATTGTTTTTTCACCATCTGTGCCTGAAGCCTGCGGGCCATGTCTTCCAATCTCTTCAGCTCGCTGTGGCTGGCCTCGATGTCCCTCTGGCAGTCACCGAGTCTTTCATTCTGTCGGTCAGTCAGCTCCTTCAACTCCTCGTTCTCCTTGGTCTTGGCATCCAGGTCCTCCCTGAGATGGCTCAGCTGGTGCTGGAGGGTGGAGACGGTGGACTGCAGGTCCTGGGTAGAGGCTTGCAAGTCACAGGACGACTCCTCTTTTAATACCCTTTTGTGAAAATAGAAATCACATTTTATCAATAATGGGGAGAAAAAATATTTCTGTTTAATAAAGTTTTTTTCGTGTTTAACCACGGAAATTATCTCCATTGTGATAAACTCATTCAAAACTCACTTAAAGTTGCGTTCTCCATGCTATTTTTGAGTTTCATCTTGAAATATAGATTCCTTTTCTAAATCGCTATTTTTCTAGCAACACAAAAGTTATCAACTTTCGAAGAAAGTTATTGAGTTATAATGTATTATCCCAACCCCAAAAACCTTCTTTTTACCTTTTTTGGACGTCTGCAACCCTTCGAAAAATTGAATTTTGTTCAAGCACAAACAGATCGCTCGTCCAGCAGCCTGGCTCTTGGTCCCAACGTTATCAATACTGATTATTTTACAAGAATCAGCCTACCCCACAAACACATTGTCTGGCAGCCAGTAACTGGAGATTTGTAAAGTAAGAATTCAATAACTAAACATAGGCCGATTTTTTTCTGTCGATGTCTCGTTCAAAAGTGAATCACTTGCTAGAAAAATAGCAATTTAGAAAAGGAATCTAATTTTCGGGATGAAACTCGAAAATATCACGAGGAGCGCAACTTTAAAAGCCAGCATCATCATCGCTATCATCATTCAACATCATCATTATTATCGTCATCACCGTATTCACCTGAAGTTCTCCCTGGCATCTTGCAGTTCTGCTTCCAAGGCCGTGGCTTTCTCCAGTAGTTCCTCTCGTTCCTTGTCACAGTGCAGCAGGCTGTCTCGCAGATGGTCCTCCGTGCCTTGGTACTGTGTATATGAAAGTCACAACAAAAACTGGCGTCAAAGTTGTACATTTAACTGAAAATTTTGGATAGTCTTTCACCATGATGTACAAGTCAAGTGCTTGCTCAAGGCAAAACAGTGAATAAGAAAAATTTAAGTACATGCGAGTCTGAAACTGGAAATAGGCTCAACTACAGACTTGACCTGTGGAGTCCGAGTGTTAGTCTAAGTCCACTGAGACCTTCAGCATGCTGGAGTGTAAGGTCAACTGGTCTCAAGAAAGAGTTCCATTGAAGGCCTTACTTGGACCAGACTTTTGTAAAGAAACCGGACAACAATGCTACGCTGCAATGTCACCTTTTTGAATTTCTCCTTGGTCTTGTTCCTGTACTCGTTCAGTTGGTCGCTCAGGTCTTCCAGATTCTGCAGGGCTTCATCTCGCTGATTCTCGGCCCTGGGGACAAAAACGAGGAGGGACAGAAACAGGGAAAGAGAGTAAGATTGGAAGCTCTCCATTTCTTTGGAGACTTGGAAGAAACTGAGAAAGGTTTGCCGTGGCATCACATGTTTATCACTAAGTGTGATAAGGTTGACAATTTGGAGCAAGTATTCAAGCAATCCAGTGAATATTTCTGCAAGATCAACAACTGGGTCAGTTACAGCTTTGACTTGCCTTTTTCTCTGCTGCGCCTCGTAACCCAACTCTGATTTGACTGTCTTGGTGTCCTCCCTGCCCTGTTTGATGAGGGAGTCCTTCGCTTGCAGTTCCCGCTCGTATTCCACTAGCTTCTGATCAGCAGACCTGGCAAAAGAAGGGGACTGATTAAAACCATTTTATTCTGCATAAAATAGAATTCAGGTAACTGGAAGACTATGTGCAAAGTTGGAAGTTTTATCTGTAAATCTAGTGACAAATCTAGTGACAAATCTAGAAGGAAGTGAGGCCATACCCTACTCACATACAGATTGTATGTTCACTGAATGCTCCATGCTCTTTTGACCAATGGCACAATTGCTTTAGGTGAGCATTTCACTAAGGCAAAAAAAATAAATTCGGCTTCCGATTACATGGCATTTGGAAATAGGGTAGGTAGTTAGGGTATTGTTTTTGGCAATTTTTTGTGTGGACAATCAAATGCAAGTGTCTGCATGTAGTCAAGGGTATAAGGTAACTGATGATTTTTAGGTTTTTTTCCTCATTTTTCCAAAAAGAAATTAGGGTAGGGGCTGCCAAAATAGGGTTGGTAGGGTAACCAGAAGCAAAACTATTATCTTTTTGGCCTAATCTATATCAAATTACTGGGTTTTTTTGGTGTTTTTTTTACAATAACTGACCAATATGCAATGCACAGGACGGTTGAAACAGTCCCAAACAAGCCACTTTAATACACAAGTTCCTCAGTTGCATATTACACAGCCAGGATATCTTGAGAGTACGATGAGGCCGAAACATTCAAATATCATATTCTACCTGAGTGCTTCGTCATCCAGTCGGATGCTGGACTCTAGCTGAGAGACTTTGTCCCGCAGTGAAGGCACTTCAACTTTCGTAGATTCCAATTCCTGGCTTATGGCTTGCAACTGTGAACATTAAAATGGACAGAAAGAAACGAAAGGAACAGCTGAAGTCAGGCCACACAACTCAATATGTTTTTTTTTTTAAAGTTTGTGTTTAGGCTTTTTAATGTGTTCATTTTTTTTCACAATAGCGAACCGTCAAGTGTAGTAGTGCTCCAATGATTACAGTGTTCGACCCATGTGCCATGGTGCGTAGGTTTGAACCCTGACAGGGAACATGGTGCTTGTGTTCTTGGGCAAGACACTTTACTACAATACGGGCGATTCACAATACTGCGTCTCCAAAAGTTTGCAACGCGTTGGCCAATCACGATGCGCAAAATCTGTCGACCCAATGCGCGTTTGGAAAAGGTCGACTGATTTCGCGCATTGTGATTGGCCAACGCGTTGCAAACTCTTGGAGGCGCACTATTGTGAATCGCCTGTATTGCCTCTCTCCACCCAGAAATATAAATGGGCAAATACCTGTGAGTACAGAGACCAGACTAAGCTAATTTCAGGCTGCTAATTTCAGGTCACACAGCCTGATAAACAATTGTAAAGCACTTTGATACCTTTGGTATAACATTCTAATTATTATTAACCTAAATCCTTCATCACTTTTTACACAGAATTGTTGCATCAACGTTGTAGATGCACTAGTGAAATTCATACTGGTTATTTTTTTTGTACCTGGTTTTTGGTAGAGCGGAGCTCATACCCGGTACTTTCCAGCTCATTGAGTAATTGGTGGTTACTAGAAACCAGCTGGGAGTTTTCATCTCTCAGTGCCTGCAGCTTCCTCCTCAGCGTCTCATTCTCTAAGTCGTGGACCGATGGCATTGAGCCCTGCACAGCACCATTCTAGCAACAACAAAATGCACAAATTATATGTGACAAGTGGACTAGCATCATGTCTTCAACAACATATAACAGAACATTTAACTAGACTTAACCCTAACTCCCTGGGTCTTTTTGCAAGGATGTAGCTTCAATCCTGCAAAATCCTCCAATTGGCCTCATGGGAAAATAGCATATAGCCTTAATCCTGCAAATTCCTCCATTATTTCTTGAATAAGGTCCGTGGAGGGGTGATCACTGCCTGAATCCTGCAAAATCCTGTGGCAGTGACTGTCAATATGTTGAGGCTTGGCCAGTGACATCCTGGACCAGTATGGAGGATTTCAAGCATAATCCAAGCCTATAGTTATGCATGGCTGAGCAAAAACAATACAAGGTCCGGCCCAAGACCTTGACAAAGTGCATCCTACGAAATCAGTAACGCACTTTTGCCATGTAACCTCAATCCTCTAAATTCCTCCACTTTGGCAAAGAGGATTTTGAAGGATTCAGGGCGGTTAGGGTTAAAAAAAACCTTTTGAGAAATATTTCATAAAGGCAATTTTATATGTTTTCACTTAATATACAATATGAAAATAACTTGGAATCATCACAGCATTGTAAATCATACTCCCATGCAGATAGTCATGCTGAAGTGCTCCACTGACATTTTGAAGAGTGAAACTTTTCCGTAATAAAGAATTACTAAAGTCAAATATCAATACCAATGACAACACTACCTATAAACTTCTCATTATTTTTCAAAACCATTTGTTGATAGCAACAAGTCAATAAATAGGTTTGTCTATGACACATTTTAACATTGAGATGAGCGGATTCCTTTTTCTCATCCGAATTTGCATGTACAGTCAAATCTCGCTTATACAAACTCAACCGGAGAGCCAAAATGTTCGTTATGATAGAATCCTGTGTTAATCATGCACATAAATGCCAGTTGGAACCAATGCCTTATGTTTGCTATAACCAGAATTTGTATTAACAGAGTTTGTATTAAGGAGGGTCGACTGTAAATGAACTAAAGTAGTTTAATTGACTTTTCAATTGATACAGCATAAAATATCACTAAAAACAAGCCTCTCACTGAAAAGGAACCCACAAACCTGAGATGGCATTTGAAACATCCAACTGAAGGTCCAAGCCTAAATCTCAAAAATGCTTCAGCAGTCATGCAGTCATTCAGAATAAACTAAAGACGCCAGTTCATCAGTGGTATACTGGGGAGTCAGGTTGGCGTAGCGGTACTTTTCTCACCTTCCACCGCTGTGACCCGGGTTCGAATCCCGCCTGGGCCAATATGTGGATTGGGTTTTCGGTCCCTGCCTGATTCCGTGGGTTTTCCCCAGAATATTCTTCTGGGCTTTTCCTCCCACCTCAAAAACTGTAAATTCTTCTCATTGTCTTCTCTCCACAGGTTTCTTCAGGCTTGCGAGCTGCAGTGCCTAGGGCGCTTTTGAGGAATCCTTGGTTTCATTACCAGAAATGATTAATAATAATAATAATATCATCTGGCATGAATACAGTCCTCCATTCAACTTACACTTTGAGGTTGCTGTACTGGACCAGGAGCGTCCAGACCATGTGCCCCCTGTTCGTCCATCACGTCCCGATGGAAGCTGTACGGGATAGCGATTCTTCCCTCTCTAGACCTGATGTCCAGGTAGTCCTCTGTCAGGTCATCTAAGGTCAAAGGTTGCAAGGTGTCATCGGCCAACGAATCACCGTCGGAGGATACTGCATACCTTTACAAAGTGAAACATCACAAACTTGTGTCACAAAAATGGAAACAAAAACTGGAGTAGAAAAAAAGTTAAAAACCAAAAACTTGAGTGTTGGATTTGTTTTGATCATCATATTTGTTTGCTAAGCCTTGCATACATTATTTAGTTCAGTCGTGTTCAATGCACCAAATATATGGGAGATAAATTTTGCAAGTTGAGGCTTTGCATGGTGGACGGCCCAACTTAGGAGAATTTTGCGGACAGTACACCATGTGAAGTGACTTTCTCTATTACAGAAGAATGGTTTTGGGAACAAGAGTTGTTGAAAAAAATAATGCAAATTTAATCAAGATGCTGGAATGCTTGGTTTTCTCTGAGCCAGGTCTCTTATATTCAGATCCGTACAAATCTAGAGATGAAATTGAACAAGCCATGCAGCCTAATTTAAAGTAGCAAACCAAAGGCTAGGAACTACAATTGTTTTGATGGTTAGCCATTTTTTTCTTCAGTCAAGGGCACATCTGTTAGAAAATTCAATTGCCTTTTGTCCAATTGTCCAGCAGATCAAAGGCAGTGAGGCATTGGCCAATTCCATACATTACCTCGCGAACTTGGTTCCAGGCTGATACAATGTACAAACTGAAGTGAATACTGTTTATTATTGCCTCAACAGGTCATTACCATTAATGCTTTTACAACTATAAACTGACTTACCAGAGTTTTGAAAAAGAATACAAAGATTTTTCAAACAACTTACCTCGCCTAATTTACAATCAAAAACTGTTGTTGACTCCTTGAATTCAACAAATGGTGTAAAGACAGATACATGTACAACTAATAACCACCGTTAACAAGCCAAGCTTGAAAGATTTCACCTTAAAAAAATATATCAGCCAACACGCTTTCCAGCGATACCATAACAACTGTCAAAATTTCTAAAGGAGTCTGGTCTGTTTACCCACGCTAAACTCCCCTTGAGTACACACATCCACCAGAGAGAATACTTCACATGCATTTGATAGCTCTGGAGTTGGGAATGTCAATAGGCTGCAGCCAATGAGGGACGGTGCTCGAGTTTACCGGGGTCATCTTTCTACTATGCTATTGTGACTCGTGTTGACATAACTCATTGATAGCGTGGCAGGGATTTTTTTTCTAGTCTTTTGCTAACTCAGTATGAAAACAAGGAGTCAATGTTCATTTATTATTCGCTTAAAAAAATGTCAACAATTTATCAAATCACATCGTGAAGTTATTTATTTAAGATTTATTTAAAGAAAAAAAAATGGTCATTAGTTTTAATTTAGATTTCTGATATTATTTTACCAATAAAAATAGTGATATACTGTGCATTATGTTAATCTTTAAAATTGCTCTATCTGAGCTCAACTTTGTCAATTTTTTTTTCTCCTAACAAATTTTAAATTTCTATGTATTTTTATTTAAACGGAAAATTCCTCCCTCTCCCCTATTTTGGACATCTTTGACCCTCTGAAAATGTGTTTTTATTTTTGGTTGCTTTTGCACCATACACACAAACATATGCCTGAATTACTGTTGGACCACAAATAATTCAAAATCTATAAAGTAGTTATTCCATTTCTAAACTTGAGTGGATTTTTTTTTGCTCGATGTCTCATTCAAAAGTGAATAACGGTTGTGTTGCTGGAAAAATAACAATTAAATAACAAGACCCAAAAACAGTGTAGGGAGAAAACTTTAAAGCTTAGTAATTGTATCTTTAGCATTTTTGTTCTGGTTCAACATACTTATTTTTTTTAAATTAACCAGCAGTAATATTGATGGCAATGATAATTCATAATTCTAATAAAAAAAATCTTACTTTTACTTACGAAATATTTCATTAATACATTTCGAATACATAAAATGGTTGTATGTTTTTTATTTCTACATATATGTGTAATTAAATATTAGAAAACTATGATCAAAAGTTTGAAATTATAGGGAGAATTAAGAAATAATATTTTTAGACTTTGCCAATTATGATAATGAGTCGATGAATGATGAATAAACTATCTGTTGCTACCACCTGCTGCATACTGCAGGGGCAACTCTGACTTCCTTTGTGAACGGATGAGCGTAAACGCAACAAAAGACTTCATTCATGGAAGCAAAGGGGCATTCTTATCCAAGGAAATTAAATTTGTAATGAGGCTGGCGAAATCAATAATCAGTATGATGAGTCCTAGTTGGAGGAATTTGAGCCCTCAATTATTTTTAACAGTAAAAGTTTCTGTTTTTTTTTATCAAAGGTTAAATTCATTGATATAATTTTCACCTCAAAGTTTGAAATTAAAGTTGCATGCTCGTGCTCTTCAAAATATTTTTTTTCTCTGCTAACAAATTTCAATTTGTATGTTTTGTTTTAACAAAAATACTACCTCATTCCAATTTTGGACATCTGCAACCTTCTGACATAAGGCTTTGTACAGAAATAAATCGCCCTTTGAGAGCCGAATTATTGTCAATAATTAAAATTTTGTGAAGAAATAATTCAATAACTATACCTCAGTGGATTTTTTCTTTCATTTCTCATTCATATCAGTTTGCTAAGATTAGCAGAAATGTCCATTTGGCATCTTCGCTTTCCAATCACTTGATATTAACCTGTATAAAACGTTGGTGAAGGGCAAAACCTAATTTGATTTAACCTGTATTTCATTCTAAATTTCTTTAATCATCATCCATCCATTTTGCCTCAAGGATTTTCAATTATGATTTTTCTTCAATCGTCATCCATCCGTTTTGCCTTAAGGATTTTCAATTATGATTTTTTTTTATAAAAGAATAACATGACATCAATAAATGCTGGGGGAAAAAACTATGTTTGAGCGCTCATGGGGCCCAGTGTTTTTCTTTAATTAATACGAAAAAATTTGTAGCATTTTTAAGGTAATAGTGAACATACCTTGGACTGTTCCGAGGTGACTGCAACAGCTGTAGGCTCCTCTCCGTGTGAAGGAGTCGCTTTCTGATGTTGCTGACATTCCTCAGTAGCAGATCCCCATCTGTGTCAGACTCGGATGTCATTTTAGATTACCTGGATTAAAAAAAAGGAAAATTTGAGTTAAGAATTTCTTTAGAAATGCTGGGCTTCATACAAAATCAGGTTTTGTGCCTTTTCTTTGGATGGGGAAACATCTACAGACCAAGCACCCATTGTCAATATCACAGTTGCAAAACAGTACCTCAAGTGATCAGAAAGGTTCAAATAATGAGTCGAAACTCAGCTACGGAAGTGGCTCAAACGCATGTCCAGAGAAAAAAAACATACACATGTATGTAGAGAGTTCTGGATTAAAAACTGAAGAAGAAATTCTCGCCAAAATATATTCTAAAAAGTGTCAAGTTTAAAACTGAAGGTAAACATTTAAAACAAAGTCTAAAACTGAAGGTAAACATTCAAAACAACAGGAGGTTAGCTAAAGGCAATTAGCATTTTTCTTCAAGTCTTCGGAACTGCCAATTTCAGTTACACGCAAGCATAATTTGCAAACCTTTGCCGACAATGCACGAAGAGTAAATGTGTTTAGGATGCAGGAACACATGATGCAACCTGTAAACGTACACACCTCGCCAACAGGTTGTGTATAAATCAGACTTGCATTGATTGGTCAGTGCGGGGCTTGTGCATTGGTGGGCGTACTTGACTGCACCTGGCCTACTTCCTGACCATTCAGAAATTTGTATCCGTAGTTGTATTGTCAAATTTCTGCATTTATAAAGATACGGGGAGTATGCCACTCTGCATCACTGAGAGTCATACATAAAGCCTTTGAAAAGTTTGCATTTTTTTGGTACCATTTGAAAACTCAATAAGGGGCTTTGTCTGTGCACATGAAAAGTCTATGTTAAAGGGGCACTGCGTCCTAGAATGCAGTATCAAATCTGCACTGAGAAATTTGAAAAAAAAAAAATCCTACTTTTTATTTAAGAGAAAAAAGTCCAAGAACCAAGAGCCAAAGATCCTGACACTGAATACTGTCAGGTCAGGGAACCAGACGGTAGACTGTCGTTACGATGGACACTGCATTTTTTTCCCGTCAAAATTAATATAACGTCAGGCCTAGCTTGAATTTTTCAGCTCACTAGGCTCGTATGGGAAGATTCAACGGTGAATCTCCCCATGAGCCTAGTAGATAGTATTAAGCTGGAAATTTCGAGCTACGTTCGTTAGGCATGTTATTTGTCAGGTCTACAAACCTAGATCATAAAAAACCGAGCATGTCCAATATTGCGACCACAGGGAGAAAATCTTAATGCCCAACTCCCTCAGGTTTATAAAAAAATCATATGAAAATTGGAGGATTCAGGGCTGTAAAGTGCAATTAACCATGTTAACATGATTAAAATAAGGGGGGGGGGGCAGGAAAAATAAGAAAGGAAAAAGAAATGGGAAGGAATGAATGTAGTATTAGTATTCAGACGCCACTTCGGCGGTTGTGTACAAACTTTACAAAGTATATGGAGAGTGAAGAACATTTTGTAAGTATTTCCTAACAAAATTGGAAAAGTTTCTCAATCTCAGTCCCAGATTCATGTCTTTTCAACATTTTTACAATGACTCATTGTCATGTTGTTGACTGACGAAGAAAAAAGTGGCGTCAGGTAACAACATTCTTTCCAAAATAAAAACCTCAAATTCAAAACAAACAAACAAACATACAAATGGAGCAACATGAACAACAGCTTTCCACCAAGTTGTTCTAGAAATCATTAAAACACAAAAAATCAACTGTGAACATGCAAAACAAGATTCAGGCATAGCTATATCCTTGATCCTCCTATTTCTGCGCAGATAAGGCTTTGCAACCAAGTAGCTTAAAAAAAGCAAAGCAACCACTCTTTTCCTCAACAAAACTTATATTGTTGGCTTACAATCATCCACCATACCGATTAACAAAGCGAAATCTCCTTGTGGCAGCAAGTGGGGAATTCCAAAGCGTGCAGTTTTGGCGTTGTAGAAAAGAATCCTGCCTAATTCTGCGCAGGGAACGCTTCATGAAAAATATGTGCTGTCCGGGCCATGTAACTCAATATAAACAGTTTTTTTAATAACTTAGGCTTGTTGGCTTAATAGTAAAATATATTTCATGAGCTTTACAAACATATTTTCTTATTTTTCCTTTCTTTTTTCAATGCCAATAGTATGCTTTTTGTAATTTCAAGATTATTTTCAATATCCTATTTGGAGATTTATACAAAGGCCTATATTTACATAAATAGATTTTATACATATTGACCTATTAAATGTAGATCCCAATGATATTGTTATTCTGATCATCCCAATCAACAGAGACAGTTTTTAAGATGTCGGATTTTAAAACTTATGACCAAAAAATTCCAAAATAATATAAGAAATGTGTCAACCCCAAACGGAAGTTTTACACCTTGTAGAAACTGCAAATTCTTATCTATGACATCTTAACTATAAATTGTATAATACTGACGATATTGGGAGACCAAGAAAGGTCACCTTTCGGTCATATTTTTTACATCTGCAGGCCCGAAAGCATCTGCCTGCATTTGTACTTAGTAATTAACTGTAAAAAGCCGATGTTTTCCATTCTTTGCCTGAATTTCCGGGAAAGCCTTCAATGTCTACATTTTTTCGGCTGCTGTTTATGGTTTGTGCATCAAAGGATACGATCATGATGATGCCAGTGAAAGTATGTAATTTTTTAGGATGCACGCCTTGCAAAATATAACTTAAACTTAAAGGCAAGTGCGCAGAAATAGGGGCACGTAGCTAGTTTAGTTTAGGCATGTTACTAGAGCCAGAGGTCTGACGATAAACATGATAAACACAGCTCCATGATTCAGGTAGGCTCTGCGCTGCATGCACTGAGCTGAGCTAGCTCAGGCCGAGGATATCTAGAACACACGTTTTTCATATACCAATAAATAGCGCCCTCTAGTGTTTCATACTTTAATTTTAAAACAAAAACATTTACAATTACATTTTCTTTTCCTGTATAAACTGGTCCGAACAGCATTGTGCGAATCTAAATTAACAAAATGAGCAGTAGGCGTCACGAACAACTTACTGATTTTAATATTCTTTCAATCAAAGGCTAAAGCGTAGAATTTACGCTGCATCAATGTCGTCTGCAAACTTCACATTTGTTTCATCCGCCATTTTGAAGGCGCAAACGTCCCCGAATTTTGATTGGTGGAGAGTGACGTTATCCAGTGAATTATAATTAGAAATTAGAAATAAATTCACCTGAATTAATGAAGATTACTTATTATAAATTTTGCATTAATCGTACTAAATAATTCCGCTTGTCAATTAAAATGTTTGTTGTATTTTACAAAAAGTAAAAATTGCCATCAAAATCCTCCAAGTTAATAAAATATATTTTATTTGGTACGCATGCGCAATTGGCCGACCTTTTCATTTTTGGGTCAGCCCCCAGCCGAAGCTACCTAGAGTGGCCTGTAAAAAGGGCTAAATTTTAGCAAAATGGTACGGTATTTTATTTGAAATAAATGATTCACCATTGCGATACATTAATGTTTTATAGATCTACATTAAAATTGATCGTATTAGTATCACAGGAATGCAAAGATGGAACGGATTTGAAATCGACTTGTTCCATATTTTTGCTTGTCATCACCGTACTGTTGTGCACGTTCCAACGTGGAGGCATTTTTTTAGTATGAGAATTTATCGGAGTGATGCTCTTAAAAGTCTAGGATTATTAAAGCTTCACATTACTGTGATCTTTCAGAAATAGTGCAGCTAATACAACAACACTATTTTTCTCGATTCTTCAAACGTGTTTATCAAATATATTACATTATGATTGCTGAAACAGGGTTGTAAAAAGCTCGCACTGCCATGACTGCGTTCTCAGTCTCATCAGCTCTGCTGCTGCGTGGTGGTGGGTTTCCAAATTCTTATGCTTAATTGTGCACATGTTACCCGTGCACGCACATAGGTACAAAACGACTGCAGTGAGTGAGCCAGTGGGTGGGTTGAGGTGCACTGCATGGGGATGGGGCAAGTCCAACTTGTCTAGTTATGTTGCCTGAGGTAACATGTCAGTCAGAAATCTGAAAATGATAAACTTTGAGTGTATTTTGCTGCCAATTGTTTTCTTTTCTGTTTTTTTTTTCACTGTAGACTGTAGTCTTATTGTATAAAAGATAAAATAAAAAAAAACAAGAATTATTGACATGCTGTAACAAAATTAGGAAAGAATGTTGCATCCTGACGCTACATTCGAAACAAATAATTTTTGGCTTACAATGTAGGCCTACAAGGATTTTGTTGCCAAACATGACAAAGTCTTTAAGAGAGATTTCTAGGCGAATGTGTGGCCAACTTAGTGAATGTTTACATGTCACTGCATGTTGAGGCCGTCAACTGACGTGTGACATGTACAAATTCACTTATAATATTAGTTGGCAACACATTCGCCTACAAATCTCTCTTAAAGAGTTTATCAACATATTCCTTACAGGTACAGTTCTCACATGAAAGTATACTCGCTGAAGGGAAAGAATGCTGCAACCTGACGCTGCTTTTTTCTTCATATCTCATCTCAATGAAAGTCAGTCATTGCAAAAATGACGATAAAGCATGAATCTGGGACTGAAAAACATTTCCAATTTTTTTAGAAAATACTAAAGAAAAGTTTCTTGACTCTCTATAAACTTTGTACACAACTGCTAAAGTAGCGTCAGGTTGCAACATTCTTTCCGACGTTTTCACCTGCTGACGTGATCCTGTTCACACCTGTATCATATTCACCTGTCATTTTTGTTTTCTGCTCCCAGTTTGTGAAGGTGGTCAAGAGTAAGGCGTACTTCAAGCGCTACCAGGTCAAGTTCAAGCGCCGTCGCCAGGGCAAGACCGACTACCAGGCCCGGCGCTTCCTGGTCGTCCAGGACAAGAACAAGTACAACACGCCCAAGTACCGCATGATAGTGCGCTTCACTAACAAGGATATCGTCACGCAGGTGCAATGAAAGACCCCCTCTGTCATGTTTCTGTGTAGCCCCATAAATGTGTCTCAAATACTGGACTTTCTCTGTATTGTGAGCCGCACACCAGTGCATGCAAATTACCCTGATAAGTTGTGTTCCCTGAATTTGAAATCTAGACTGTTTTCCACTTAATATTCACTACGGAAGCTACTTATTTGGTCAAAAAGTTTGAAAAATTATAATTCTCTACCTCTATACGCCTACTTATCCTGTAATTTTGAGGTGAAATTTTAAGGAAAATTGTCAGAAATGACATCGGGATTTTTACAGGAGAAGTAGATGTCTTGAGAAGTAGAGGTGAAGACTTTGTTTTTCCAGCTTTTTAACTAGGTAAGTAGCTTCCATTGGAAACATCAAGTGGAAAACTGTCTAGATTTCAAATTCAGGGACATTTAGCATGCATTGGTGTGTGGCTCTAAATACTTTAAAAAGTCCAGTATTTGAGAAACATTTATTGGGGCTAAATATGTGTTGCTCTGTTTCAGTGAAACAAGATTTATGGAGTTTGTAGTCAGTTTTAAAATGATTAGTTTACTGTTTCAATTCTGGCCGAACATTGGATATTGACTTGTTCGATAAACTTGCCTTTTGTCTGGTCCATGATTTGAAGTAAATATTTCTTTTAAGAAATATTGTCCTCATGGACTGGTCGACCAAGATGTTTTTTTCCCTGAAAATTGGGTTCAATCAGCTCATCTAGTTAACCCTTTAGTCACTGTGGCGCCCTAAACCGCCCCAGTATGGTTTTCTTGATTTGTTTCGGTTAATAAACACACTGTAATACAATGTAGTGCAAGTACTAATGGGCTAAATATCTTTAACATCCTGAACCTTTATTCCTGTAGCTAACATGCCACCAAAATTGTTTCTAGTTTTCTTCAACTTTGAGGAAAAAAATCATGATTTAGACCTTACAAAGTTCTTGAGGAAATTGTGGTTTGTTTTTTCCCCTTCTTTTTTTTTTTCATGTTTGTCTCCGAAATCATCTTCTGTGATGAGATGCCATTACAAAATAGCTGGAATTACCGAATGAGTTATTTCCATGATTAGATGTGGCCTCTGAGAGAAATGATTGGATACAGAGATTGCTGTAGTGTCATGCAGAAAGTTTGGTGGCTCAGTAGTCAAAACTTGTTTGTTTCAGACAATATGTTTGGATGGGTTTGTTACAGATAGCGTACGCCAGGATTGAGGGAGATGTCATCGTATGTGCCGCATACGCCCACGAACTCCCTCGCTATGGCGTCAAGGTCGGGCTGACAAACTACTCTGCAGCGTACTGCACAGGCCTCCTGCTGGCCCGCAGGGTAAGTTTCATTTTGTGTTAACTCCCCAACATCCCTCCCCACCCCCCACTCTACATCTTCCAACCCCCCCCCCATCCTCCAATCGCCTCCCCCCTCCACCATCCTCCAACCCAACCCAACCCCCATCTCCCCATCCCTTAAAAAAAACAAAAAAACCAAAGTCAGTTTTTGCTTTGAGCCACTTTCCATAAAAGTTATAATCTTGTTAAGAAAGCACCATGTCCATAAGAATTATTCAGAGACCTTTTAAACTGGAATTTTATAAGAGATGCTCCAAGTATAAGCCTTTTTGTGATATGGTGGACACAATAGGAGTATAATGTTTGGTTTGAGTAAAATGTTTTTGTATTTACCCAAATTTACCAAAATCAAATATCATCCTCCTATTATCTCTGTCATATCTCAAAAATGCTAAAGATTGTTTACCTCCATTCATAACATTTGTGAATTGTTGATATTTTTGTTTTTTGGGGGGGTGATGTGTTGCAACTAAGTGATTCTCTATGATGAGATGCCATTAAAAATAGCTGGAATTACCGGATGATTCTTTGTGATTAGACATGGCTTCTGAGAGAAAAGAAAGGAAAAAAGTACTTTAAAGTGTGAGTGAAGGAAAATATCCAAGCTGCATTCACTATTGAAGTGATAACCTAAGATCTTCCAAACCAGTCTTGAAACAGGAATGGGATGATGTCGATGCAAACATGGGCCACCACTCAATACGGACTTGTGTCTTTTCTGAGCATTTTTTTGTGTTGTTTTGTTGGGACTTTTAAAGGAAAAAAAACGACGTTACTTTGCTTCGAATACACGTGCACTTCCAATGACTGTTTAATTACATTGATTCTCTGGTGACAGAAGCAAGTATTGATGCGTCATGTAACTTACCTACCCGTCTGCACAGATTCTGAAGAAATTCAACCTGGACTCGCTCTACGAGGGCCAGACGGAGGTCGATGGAGAGGAGTTCCACGTGGAGAGTTTAGAGGGCCAGGCAGGAGCCTTCCGCTGCTACTTGGATGTTGGGCTTGCCAGGACCACCACTGGGGCGCGTGTATTTGGCGCCCTCAAGGGTGCGACTGACGGGGGCCTGGACATCCCACACAGGTGGGTGGTTGGCTAACTTCTTGTCTGTGTGATCATCTGAAGGGCTAGAATTTCTTGAACGTAATTTTTTTGACATCATAGTCCTAATTGCCCAGTTTTTAATGTGAAATTTTCCTTTAAATATCCAGATTTTTCTATTTAAAGGGAATATACATCATTTGCTTTTGCTGTAATTTTCAGAAATGGATGGAATTGGGGGGGGTTGGAAATATATAGCAAATATAGTTACACTGACTTTTTTGAGGTTTTGGGTTCGAAAATGCTATAAAAACCAAGAAAAACAATCATTTTCCTGTAGTCTGGTTCCCTGACTCCATTTAAGAAGAAACAGAGCAGTTTACATATATTGGGGAATTGTAAGGTCAGGGAACCAGTCTAGCTGGCTTGTACCCGTTCATATAGGTGTGTAATCTATTGCAAACAAGTGCGATGGTCAACTGGGGCCAGTATTTGAAAAAAAGCCAGTTTTTTCCAACGCTGATCGGCCGATCAGCGTTGGAAATTGATACAAAAATACCACTTTTCTTGAAAATGACAGTATACCAGGTGCCATGATTTTACAGGATGCTTTACACTGTCATTCACTAACAGTCCAGCAAGGTATTTCAAAATGATTTGGTAGTTTTATTTTTTGATGTTTGCAAATGTTGTATTTTCCCTTTAAAGTGTCTGTCTGAAAAAGAATGGCCATGCCTCTGCTACAGGGAAATCCCTTGCTTGTGCAGTAGCATTTTGACAGTAGGGTTATGTTAGTAATGTGGAGGACTTTCTAAACGATCTGGGAGCATCTTATTTAATATAAATTACTGTCATGCTTGCTAACTTCCAGCTCATGTCACTGTTACAAGCTGAAGATGTTCTTGCCAAGGTTACAGAACATTTCCCACTTTAGTTCTTGAGTGATTGAAAATTAGGCATCTTGGTGCATAGTAAACAATCCAATTTAATTGCTGTAATTTTCATCTTCATTTGTACTGAAGCTGAAGTAAATTTTTGAAAAGTTGTGGTAGTAATTTCATGGCACATCAAATGAAAAAAGTATCTAATCTCTTTGTTAAAATGGAAAATTCTGTTTTGCTTTCAACAAAACAGTTGCTTCTTTTTGAGAGGGGGTGGGGTGGAGAAGAAGCTATATTCGTTTTCTCTATGATGAGATGCCATTCAAAATAGCTGGAATTACCGGATGATTCATTGTGATTAGACATGGCCTCTGAGAGAAGATTTGTTATATAAAAACAAACAGCTGTTTTGCCGTGCCAACTTTTCACTGTACACAACTGTGTACAAAACTATAGCAATTTTTTCAAATGAATTTGTTGTATATCTTTCTTGCCTAATCTGAAAATACCTCTGTGTTGCCTGCCGTGAGAAGTCTGTCGAGGGTAACAAGATCCAAAAAGTCAAAAAGGCTAAACTGCCCATTGCCAACAGGATACAACTCTTACAATGTTCACTAGGGTAGCTCCCATTGTCTTAGAACTGATGGATAATACACCCGACGTTGATGGCTCAATGCACCTAGGTCCCACGGATGTTTTTGCACCTGTTGCACTGTTTTGTGTCTGGCAGGATTAGGGTTTAAAGAAATTATTTCTTTAAATAAAATTTTTTTATTTCAGCAACAAGCGCTTCCCGGGCTACGATGCGGAGAGCAAGGAGTTCAACGCCGATGTTCACCGCAAGCACATCATGGGCGGGCACGTGGCCGACTACATGAGATCCCTGGCTGAGGACGACGAAGAGGCCTTCAGACGTCAGTTCTCTCAGTATATCAAGCTGGGCATTGAAGCCGACGGGGTGAGTGCATCAAACTCCATGTATGTCGTCATGCTGGGATTTTTGTAATCGTCCTCTTCCCATCCGATATCATCTGTCTGTCTGTCGGTTGGGCGGGCTGTCTGTCTGTCTGTCTGTCTGTCTGTCTTGGGTTGTCCAAAATCTTGTTATCAACAAACACTATATGCTTTGTACCAGCATTTGCGTGCTGACAGCCTTGTGTTCCAATGTAGACAATGTGGCCACCTATCTTTTTGACGGGGGTGTGAAATCTCAGCTTTAAAGCTGATTTTAGCTGTTTCTTTGTTTTGGATTTCAGCTTGTTTTCAGCTTTTTCCTCACTTGCTGTGTACAAAAGTATAGGAGATTTCCAAAGTTCAGCTTTTTTACACCTTTTTTCCAGCTGTTTTCAGCTATTTTTATCAGTGCTCACTTACACCCCTGTTTTGAGCGGTTGACTCGGGAAATGTTGACCCTAACCCCCTAGGCCTTTTTGCTAGGAACCATCCTCAATCCTCCAAAATCCCCTAAAATTTTACAACAGCGCCTAAATTCTTCAAAATTTTTAGACAGTCCTGCCTCAAAATGCATTCATCCTCAATCCTCCAAAATCCTCCTCATCCAAAAATGTTGCACTTATGTTCAAATGAAGGGTACCCAGCCCCTCAATCCTTCAAAATCGTCAAGACAGTCCTGCCTCAAAATACCTTTCAGCCTCAATCCTCCAAAATCCTTTTCTGAAAAATACCATTCAGCCTCAATACTCCAAAATCCTTTTTTTTTTAAATACCATTCAGCCTCAATCCTCCAAAATCCTCCAAAACCCACAAGGAGGATTTTGGAGGATTGAGGAGGGTTAGGGTTAATATTGTTGGATACTCACGAGAGTTGGCAAAGGATGCGTCACATACTCGCACTAAATCACACAAAATGAAGGCCTGTAGCATGCAAGACCAAAGAAACTGATCCTTATGCCAAAACCCTGCGGTTTTTGGACCAATTACAGCCATGATTGCACAACCAAATGTCAGAGGAACGTTTGAGCATGTAGTGTTGCTTTGGCGAGTTGCAGTCCTACGCAGTGGGCGGGTTTTAAAATATTGGTCTATTTTCAACCGTGATGAGTGAAATCCCCTAGTGTCTGTAGGCGAGTCGAATGCACTCGATTGTATGTACATGGTGCATAAATATTGTTTTAACCCTTACCCTACTTGACCCTCCAATGCATGCCAATTGTGCCTCAAGAAAATCTCCTATGTTTTTTGCATGGCCCTCCAATATCTGCCATGTCATTTCAAGGGTAACTGGACAGGCACTCCAATACATGCCACAGAGAACAATGAGAGTCCTCTGATAACAAAGTGAGTGCCCCCAGCTGGTCAGTATCAGGCACCCTCCAGGGCCTCCAACTCCTGCCAATTGGAGCCTTCACTGTTAAGACTTGTTATCTGCCAAATAACTGCAGCTGGAGGGCATTGGCATAACCAACTGACATGCAGTAAACTACCCTCAGAGAGTAAGGGTTAATGGTCATCCATCTTTAGTGAGAAGATATTGAAAGAGTCCACTATAATTATCTTCAACATTGCTTCTTTATACATGTGAAGTAATTGTTAACCTTCCTTTATTAAACATTGTGAATTTTGTGAATTATTTTTGGAGTTTTTTATGTTCTTTCGTTGTTGTGGCAACTAAGTAATTCTCTGTGATGAGATGCCATTAAAAATAGCTGGAATTACCGGATGATTCTTTGTGATTAGACATGGCCTCTGAGGGAAAAGAAGAGAAAGTACTTTAAGTTGTGAGCGAAGGAAAATATCCAAGCTGCTGAGAACATGTGAAGATAATTTGACTTGCTTCTAAAATAGTCTGGTGCCTATGGAAGAATTTCCTCCCTCACAATGTACAACCTTGGGTACAAGATTGGACAACAGACATGTCTCTTGGTTTTCCCTATCTAGGTGGAGGAGGTGTACAAGAAGGCTCACGAAGCCATCCGTGCCGACCCCGAAGCCAAACCCAAGGAGAAGAAGGAAGTCAAGACAAAGAGGTGAGAGTCACGGAGAAAACAAAACCCTTGAAAGAAAGGCCCTAAGTGTTGGAATTCAATCTATGCATTTTTGTAATGATCCTACAGCAGATGAAAGTAGACGGATAAATTGCTCGAACAAATTGAACCAGTGATATCAATTTGGAGCCGGTGCTGTACAACATACTTGCAAAGTGTCAGTTCCGTCACTTCCTTTGGATGGACTTGCTTAACAAAAATGGACTAAGCACTCACATGTTTGTTTGGACAGAATGGCAAAATGGTAGAAAATGTCCTGATCAATATCATTTCACCGTCCGGCTGTATACATGTACTCTAAATTTTTCCATAGTAAATCATTTGTAGACATTTAAAAGGGACAACTAATTGATAAAGACCGATTCCAAATAATCAAGGAGTTAGCAGCACAAGTGAAGAGAACATTCCAAAAAAAAAAATTCTCTGTGATGAGATGCCATTAAAAATAGCTGGAATTACCGGATGATTCTTTGTGATTAGACATGGCCTCTGAGAGAATGGAAAGAAAAAGTATGTTAAGTTGTGAGTGAAAGAAAATATCCAAGCTGAATGCTGATGAGAATTCACTATCGAAGAGATTACGTAAGATCTACAAAAAAAACTGTCATTGGCATAGCAACTAGATTACGCTGATGCAAACATGGCCACCAAACACCATGAACTTGTGTCTTTTCTGAGCATTTTTGTCCTGATCAAAATAGTTTCACCGTCTCTAAATTTTCCATAGTAAATAATTTGTAGACCTTTAAAAGGGACTAATAATGGATAAAGACCGACTCCAAATAATCAAGGAGTTAGCAGCACAGGTAAAAAGAACATTCCAAATAAAAAAAGGGAGCATTTTTAAGGTTAACCCGTAAGGTACCCGGCTCATGAAATATTGAATTCCTACAAATTGATCTGCCTTTCACAGGTGGAACCGAGCCAAGATGTCTCTCGCCCAGCGCAAGGACCGCGTCCGTCTGAAGAAGGCGTCCTTCCTGCGAGCCCAGGAACAAGAATAGACAGCCACACCTCTCACAGCTGCAGCCCGATCCCAAGACAACCCCCCTTGCCTGAAATATGGCACACCTCTGGCCTGAAAAATGGCACACCTGGCCTGAAAAATGGCACACCTGGCCTGAAAAATGGCGCACCTTTGGCCTGAAAAATGGCGCATCTTCCCCAAGGAATCCAGAGAAATTCTTATACTTACCAAATGGCCTGTGAAACTTTATGAGTCTACGAATGTTGTCCAGAGAGAAGAGAAATGACATTAAATGCCTACAATCGCAGGGAAAAAAAATTCAGTCTCGACTTTGTGTTTTCTTTGAAGTTCTCCGTTAAGGTTGTCTTTTAAACTCCTGAAGGGATGGGGCCCATTTCTCATGGCTCTGCCAACCACAGAATTCCACGCTTACGATCACCACTCTGTGCTAACCATGCTAGCAGAACATTTCTGCTCTTACTCTGTAATAATACTCATAAGCCTAAATTCCTCTCTAATTTGTGAAATACGCTTACCGTAAGCACATAAATTTCTGCTAAAGTAAGCAGGGATGTTACGCTAACAGCAGAGCCACGAAACTGGGTCCAGGACTAAAGGCAATAAATCATAAAATACGTCAATACTGAGACACTAGATTTTTTTAATGCATATATCAATTGTTTTATTACATCATTTGTGGGGCGTGACAGTTGCAAAAAAAATCCATACTTATCTCTGCCATAAAAAGTGCGTAACCATTTATAACATAAATTTCCATCACAACTCATGAATTATTCAGAGTGTTTATTTCAAAAATAATGATCATGACACCTGATTGTTCATTGTAATTTCCAATGCCACTTTTAAACGGATATTTTTAAGACTTCCAAAACAAATACTAGAAGAAAATTCAAGTCTGAAAAAAAATACATGTACCCTAAAACTTGATTTGGTTATAAAAAATGTAGAGCGTGATTCTTAATTTGCACAAGAAGAATGAAAAGTATAAAGGCATTCCAATAAAAACCCCTTTCTATATAACCATGTGGTATTAATAAAAGCAATGCATAGGATTTGTTTACAGACACACCAAACCAACTCGCAGATACTAAAGTGCAGTACAAAATTATCGGAAGCATGATTCAGCACCAATTGAAAACACCAAGACACAATTTTTACACCCTGTGGAACAACCAACTGAATTTTAAACCAATTTATCTTTGGTGAATCCCTACAACCCACCACACACTTTTACTTCTGAATTAAGAAATGTGTTGGTTACATTCATATATGAATGTCCCACTCTTTTTAAGTCGCATAGGGTAATTACACAGAAATGAATCTTGTGTCAAGTGAAGATGGGACTGGTCCCTAATACCATACCGTGTGAAATCGCTCCGCCTGAAATGGTATTGTTAAGAAGAAAACAATTAAAAGAGAGGCTTTTAAAAGTGTTCCTGCATGCACTCGGTGGCGCACCCAAGAAGGGGGAACTCAGCCCCCTCCCCAAGAGGTGGTTGATTTTTTTTTTTAGTCCCACGATTTGACCTTGGTGATATGTATGTGTCCTTTTTTCGAGTAGTATAATAGGGGTGTAAGTGGCACCACCAACGTCAAAATAGTCCCCCCCCAAAAAAAAAAATAAAATTGGAAAATTGTGAGCCCCCCCCCCCCAAGCCAAATCCTGGGTGCACCACTGCATGCACTAGCATCTGAATCCATTTATGATACCCCAAACATTGTGCATAATTATGGTTTTCTCTGTTTTCTCAAAATATAGTAGCAAATGAGCTACAAGTTCAACAGGTTAAGCTGTGCATCCTACTTAAGCAAATTTGTTGCTCCAAATGAAAAAAAACCCACAACAAGCGAATGATCCAATTCCTTTTAACCGTAACCTTCTCAACTCCATCCAAATCCTTTGGGGGGATTTTGACAGACAAGCCATGAGCACCAAGTCCATCAAAATCCACCTATAGTAGTGGTGGTCTTGTGGTGGATTTTAGCGGATTTGGGCCTGAAGCATTATGTGACGCAGGGTCAGTGATGGATTTTGGTGGACTTGGGTTATAAAAAAGCAAACGATGCTTTTACACTTTTATAAAGTAAAAATTTGAAAATATTGGCTATTAGAAAAATTGTTTGGCCAGCAATTTACCTTTGATCTACACTCTGTGTTATATTCACACTACTTTCAAGTGTAGCCTGCCCGTCTACATATAAATGCATCACTACACAATTTATTAAGGCAAGTTCGATACTGATATTAAAAACTAACATTTTGCTTTAAAAGTTAAATACAAGTTTAACTGTTTTCGATGGCCATTTCAAACAAGGGAGAAAAAAATATAGAAAAAAAAGTCAGATTATCATTCCAAAATTATGCATTGGTAAACAGGCATGCAACTTTTCCTCGGATCGGCTGAATTCCTTCTGACTTTATCTTATATACTAATAAAATTCGGAAAACACTGCCGAGTCTCTTGTCAAAAGCTTTAATAGAATTTAGTTTTTTTGTGACTTCCTCTGCACTACCTGGGTGAACAAGATACTGTGGAAACTCCTGTTGTAATACATTACGCCTCCCCTCCCGTCCCCCCCCCCCCCCCCATAAGGGCATTAAAGATTTTAACTTTCTCTGTTAATGTGATACTGTGAATATAAAAAAGCACACACCACATTACAAAAAGACAGTAAACATGTATGTGTACAGCACAAATCACATGTAGCACACACAACCGAGAAATGGAATTGCAGCCAATATATTCAGCAGTTTCAGCCAAGTAAATCACAATGGTGTCAGAGGCTACATTTTTGAGCGAGTGATTGGGCTAGAACGTCGAAATTTCATGAGTACAAACAAAGGTGAATCTCTGGTTATTGAAAAAAATGTTACGTGTTGCTGTCAATAAAGAATTACATTTTTACCATTCTTTAATTTGTAGATTGAAGTGAAGCTGCTACATTGCTTTGATAAACATGATATTTTTACTGTTCGTCTCCCCCCCCCCCCCTCTAAAAATATAACCTATTGATTTACACACACACACACACCATACTCACATTTTTAAGTTATGACTGCTGGTATGTATTATTATTTGGAGACGGGATGCAGAAAAAAAAATCACATTTTAAAATTATCACTGCTGGTATGTATTATTATTTGGAGACGGGATGCAGAAAAAAAATCACACAAAATTCCTGATTCCTCATTGGTCACTGAAAACTGGATTGACTATCTTCTCACAGAATGGGAGTGACTTATTCTGACGAGTTAGAATGCTGTCCAATAGAAAAGATGCACTTGCTTATGACATGAATATGTATGAGATGAAGCTTACTTTATTCATAAGCCAAAGATTATTATCTTTGCTTGAGATACCATGGCGCTGCTGTAATACATACTGCTGTAATAGCACACATTTTAAAACACACTAACTGTATATCATTAACTCTTAGTCCCTTGAACAAGGCCCAAGAAATGGAGTCAAAAAGGATTTAAAAAAAAGTCTACTTATTTTCGGTCATTTAATTAAAATAGTGACAATTATGTATGTTTTCTTTGCACTTTACCTTCCCCGCTAAATGATCTTCTGAATATAAGCTCTCAATATGATACAGAATAAACATCAGATAATGATTCAACGAAGACTGAGCGACGATCAGCTTGCCACGTCCCAGTCAAAATCACCGTCGGAGCCCCAGCCATCACCCTGGAAAATGAAGGTGGAATAAAAGAAGATTTTGTCCATAAATAACTTCAGACCCTCGTGCCATGCAAAATTTAGCCTGTCATGTTTAGTAAATCAAAGAAAAGGTAGTGGCTCGACTGGATTCCTGACCTCATATCACATGTATGGACTCGGTACATTAACAGTAGGTGGGGTTTGTGTTAACTTTCGAGAGTAGTGGTGCAAGAAATCACAGATTTCAAAATCCGGTTATCCTAATTTTTTCAAACCGAATACGGTTATCCGATTTCACCAGAAGTTCCCATCCAGCTCACAGCCACGCCAACAAAGAGTGAAGAGTGAGGTGTCACATGCAATGCCCTCCATGATGATTGGGTATGGTATGCAGGATTCTATGTGCACTGGGTCTTTCCGAAAACACTCCAGTAGCTGTAAATGCGTGGGATCTCTCTGATCAGTCGACTGGACAGGCTATTCAATGGTATTGAGGCTGAGTGAAATGTAAAAAACTTGGAAACATGTTGGTTTTTATACTCACATTGTCGTCTGGATTGGTGGAAACTGTATTGGCATGGAAAGCCTTTGAGGTTGACTGTGCTGATTCAGACCTCGGTGACGCCTTGCCTGATTTGCTTCCCTTCTTCGCATCTGTCGTAAAAGAAACCGATGGTTCCATATCGGCAAAGAAGTCTGGTTCCTGACTCCTCTGCTTCGGAGATAAAATGATGTCAGGTATAGCAAACTCACTTCCAAGTTCTGAGGATTTGGGAATTTTCGTGACCTTTGTAGGCCTCTTTGGAGCAATCTTGACACCGGAAGGCTGAGTTTTTGGTTTGTTGGTTTCGGTTTTTGGTTCGGGAGAAACTTTTGCGACAGGCGGTTTCTTGAGTTGTAGTGACTTTAACGGCTTTTTGGAGGAGGCGTGTCCACTGTTTGATTCTGTCCAATCGGAATCTGGCTTACTCCGGTCATCGTCCACTCTTGGCCAATCAAAATTGACGACAGTATCACCAGTTTCTGCTGAATCAGTTTCTATTGGTTTGGCTAAGACCGGTTCCTGTGTCTGCCTACTTTTTAGTAACAGAGATCCTGATTGGTTGAGTTCGGAGTCGGGACTGATGGGGCCTGCTGATTGGTCAGACTGGTCCATGTCATCCCAATCCGACCAATCGTCTTTGTCCTTATGGGGGTCCACTTCATCTGAGTCTTCTTGAGAGATGGCAACATCTTTTAACCTCTCCTCAAACTCCTCAGAGGGATTTGTTTCCTCAAATCTTGGAGATAATTCTTCAGAGTGAATATCGTCAGCTGACTCCACCGAATCTTTGTTTATGTTGGCCATTGACAACAATGTTACTGTAAGAAAAACCCAATGAAGAACACCAATAATACAGGAAAGATCAACAACTTTATCAGTGAATGTGCAATATATTCTTATAAATCACAGGCAGATTTTCTTCATTCCAAAACTTGCAGAAAAATGCAATTTAGAAGAAGATCATTTTTAGTACCTGTTGGGCATCGTACTGCAATTTACCAAAGTGTCATATCTCATTTATGACCCACCTTTTCCGCTCTGCTGGGTTTTCTTGGCTTCGCGCTCTTTCCTCCTTTGCTCGTTCTTCATCCGCATCTCCTCCCGACGCCTCTCCCGTTCCTCCTGTCGCCTGGCGACCGTTGTCGCTTGGCAACCCTCCTCCTCCTCGTTCTCCGAGGCCCGCCCACTGTCGGGAACAGGCGCCGGGGATGAGCGGGCGGGCGGGGTCTTCTCCAGTGGGGGGATGGTGATGACGCCGCTCACTGCTGTCAGGTTGGTCACATTGTCCATGTTTTTCAGGGGGCTGTCGTTTTTACTCAAGAACTACGAGAAGGAAAAATCGTTTTTACGATAAAAAAGGCACAATGATATGATAGATGGAGAAGGAGTCAATCTATACACATTACCAGTGGAAATCATCATGTTGGAAAAACTAGGTTAGGAGTTCTGAAAGTATCCACGTCGTGACAGAACAAACCTTGAAGAGAAATATTCTTCTCTGCCAATTAAATAAGATTAATTTGAAGAAACTCAGAAGCAGCTTTGCACCAACTCCACATTCAAAATTTGTAACCTATTTTCTGAAGTCGCACATGCCCTAAATTCTTTGTAGAATCAAAAGTTACAAAAGCAAATTGATGGGCACCATTCTTCATGTCTTTAATGGGCGACGTAAAATGACAAATGACTTTTGAACATAAGCTGAGCCAACATACCTTGGGCCTTCCCTCCACGAAATATTTGATTCTCTCCCCGCCCACCACCAGGTGTGCTCCAAGTATCGGCACCGTGTCTGCCAGGCCCCTCAGGCTAGCCGACACCAGTTCATCGTGGTTGTCCTTCAGTCCAATGAGAAGCTGATGTCCAAGAAAAAAAGAAAAAACCAAGAGGGATTAACCTTACTGGATTAAGACAATTATAGACACTATGGACAAGTACCCCCTCAATGGTAACATGACAAAAGGGCATTACTATTGGAATAGATGCTGGATTTTGCTGACACCAGCTGACTATTGGTGGCGCTGTTCAAAGCAGATATTTGAAGCCATTGGGCAATAGGTGGCGGTCTTCGTTACAGTAAATGAACAAACCAGTAACTGCCTTTTTTATTTTTTTAACTCTTCCATGGGAGGGGCTAAATATGCCACTGCTATTGAAGAACACTACCATTGCTGCCATGCGCCCAGTTGTGTCCTTTGGCAAGACAATTTGCAGTAATTATTTTCAGCCAAAATTAAAGATAGAACTGACTTACTACAGCCAACAGTCCCCAGCACAGAGACCATTGAAAGAAGAGTCAACTGTTTGCTTTTATTGACCCCCTCCTGTCTGTTAATCAAACAGATTAATGAAATTACGTCTTTGGTTCAAGTCACAAGCATTGTGACAAATGTTCACAAGCCAAGGATGGGCAGAGCTTTTGACCAAATCTTGAACAAACTTCCCCCTCCAAAACCCAATTTTTATCTTTAAGACGCTATCCCTAACTTTGCCGCTGATCCTACCTGAGGGAGTATTCCCTTCTTGAGCACGTTGACGTCAAACAGGTCCACATAGAAGGCAAAGTACTGCAGCAGGCAGAGGCGGACGTGCATCTCCCTTGAGGGGAAGATCTTGAGGATGACAGGAACTACAAACTTCTTGTACAGGTCCTCGGGGAATAAAGGATTGACTTGGTCCGAGAGGAACTCTTGATGCTTGCTGTTCGTTTCTGAACATAATAGTATGAGATTGCATATTCTTACCAATGACTGTAGCAAAATTATTGGTGTTAATACATTCATCTGGTAGTCACTCTTACTGCAATAACGCCACGCTCACGCATATATCGCACAGTTGTGATCTAATTTTTAAAAAGGGAAAAAACACCTAAGGCACAAACGTTTTACCTCGTAATGGAGTCATGAAGTGCGGCAAGACCATGGAGACGGCCATGGGCTCAGCCATAACAAAACTAGACAGGAGCAAGGGAGCCAGGCGATTGGCCACCAACTCCCGAGGCAGACGGTGGAGTCTGCGTGCAAGACCTTCAAAGAACGCGTTCTTGGCTGCTTCACTTTTGACAGTCAGATGGACCAGAAAGTTGGTGATCTCTAAAAAGTCATTTCTAAAAAAAAAATGGAAAAATGAGGACAATAATATATTAATTTTCATATTAGGTAATGTTGTGTATTTATGTTCAAGAAGAAAAAAAAATGTTTTGTTCCACTCAACATAGCAGATGATTCAGATTTTTTAGTTTACTTTCTCCAAACAGATTTTCATCAATAAGGAAATAATCCAACTGTATGACCCATTCTGGATTTTTTTTTCATATTGTGGTGTTTTAAAAAAATTGTCAAACTTTAAAGTCTGTAATCAATTAAACATAAAACGTCACAATTTTCCACCTAAAATTTAAAATTGAGATGACCAAGATTTTTAGTATTTGATTGTGTCATAAAGTTGTTGTCAAAGTGAACTTATGAAAGTTAAATAATTATAGGATTGATTGGGGAAACTATGAAAGGTAAACCTGCTAAATTTCTTTAGATTGTGGAAGAAAGAAGAAGGTGCTCACTTGAAGAGTCGGTCATTCAGCAGAGAGGTGAGCCTGGGCCTTAGGGTTGGATCTTCATTCAGGAACTCATCGTTGATTCGCTGCTCAAAGTTTGCCGTCATTGAACCTGGGTATTCAAGTGAGCAATATGTGAAGCAAATTTGATGTCAGGAAACATTCGCTGAGATATTTGCAGTTGTGTTCGTAGAAGAATGTGCAGGAAATGTGTTCAACTTTTGTAAAATCACAGCACGGCGAGTCACAAGTTTGCATTCGCTTTCGCACTGAGTATTAACCGGCCTTTAGAGTTAATGAGCAACAAAGATAATTGCTTACCAAGATCAGTGAGATACTCCAGCATGTTCTGAGCTAGAATCCCGAATGCGTAGGCGTCCCTGGCATGACCGTACTGGGGAGCTGTCGACGATACACTCTCCTCTTGTTCCTCCGGTGGGATCGCCTCAGTGTTACGCAGCGGCTGGCTCTGCTTAAGAAACTGAAAAAAAATGCAGGACAAAAATCGCAGGTTTACATTAGAAACTTGAAAGTAGGAAAAGTAGTCAGAGCACTTCTGTACTTGAGCACATACTGCTCTCTGTGTCGACAGTACATCGTTTTGGACGAGTCCATTTAGCACTTCGTTCAGACTTGTCATGTTTGCGCAAGATTTAAGAAAATACAACTTAGAGTCTTAAGTTGGAGTCCCGGAGTTGAAAGCTTTCCTTATCCATACCCATGACTCTTTACAATTATACGTTTACTAGTAAAAGTTTTGTGTGCGTCTCACCTGCGCAGTGGCATCTTCAAATTTGCAGAGGTGTTCCATGCCTCCCAGTCTCCACCCGCCATCTTGAACGCTGACGTAGATTGAGGACACGCAGACATTGTTGTGAGATGCGCCTCCCTAGACAACAAATGAAGGCCCAGAAATAGACAGCTCAGCATTACAGGTACCTAGGAACATTTGCTTTTCGTGCACTTTTGAATTTGAAGCAACAAAATTGCTCAAAAATCTTAAGTTAGGAGCATAACAACTAACCTGTTGTTTCAGTTCAGTAGATTCTGAAACTTTAACAGAAAAATTGTACGCACAATTATTTAGGTCTCATAACAGTGTGCCAATGGGCATGGCATTGTTCAGGTAAATTGGGATTTAATTCTCAAAGAGTTTAATCTGATAATGAAATGGCAGTATAATTTAACAAATCATAAAAGACAAACATTTTCTTTTAAATTTAGAAATGAAAAACAGATTTTTTTTACTGAAGAAGAATTTTGCAGTACCCTGTCATGAAGGAAGCTGAGTGCCTCCGCAATATTGTACAATCCAGCGCATATCTCCTCTGGCGTGAGGCTGTCCAACACTATCTCTAAAGGGCGCACTTGCTCCGTTATCAGGTAGGTGCCTTCCACGTTATCACAGGATGCGAAGAACTTCAAGATGGTTGGGTGCCGCAGTATCTTGAGTTGCTAAAAGAAAAGCAAAGATCACGGTGATAATCAGGAAAACACAGGTTTACCTCTTGATTTTTGTAGTTTTTAAAGCTTAGCTTCATCATTAAATATCAACATGAAGATTCTGGTGTAAGGTTTATACATCTTCAACACTTTCATGACATTAATTATCAAAATTATTATCATTATTTTTACCATTCATCTCCATTACCACATTATCCTCATTACCACATTATTATCATATTTATCACCACTTTCACCACCACCACCAAACACAATCACCACAAGCAATGATCACCATCATCTTCCTCATCAAGATCATCCCTATCACCACCTCCCTTCCTCCTCATCACCGCCGTCACCTTCCTCCTCCTCACATCAGCATCACCACTCTCACCATCCTTCTTCCTACTTATCAACATCTTTCCCCTGCATCACTAATATCACCACTCTCACCACCTTCACTTTCCTTATCATCGTCATCACAACCATCCCCTTCCTTCTGCATCAACATCAACACCATCGACATCTTCCTTTTGTATCATTACATCACCACTCTCACCACCTCCATTCCTCCTCATCAACATCATCATCATCATCCTTTCTTCTGTTTCACCACTGTGATCATCTTTCTTTCTCCTCATAATCACCATCACTATGGGAATCACCATCTTCATTCTTAGCATCACCTTCACAACCACCGTTATCTTCCTCATCACCAAAATCCCCATCTTTACCATCATCTTCCTCCCACCTCATCATCAACATCACCACCACCGTTATTTTTCTTCTTCCTTTTCATCATTCTCTGGACCATCATCAATGAAGTTCATCATCATCATCATCACAAATATCATCAATGGTCCCATTATTAGACCCACCTTTGCTCATAAATAGGCACTTACTAACCCCATTTAATTGCCATGTTTAACACAACTGAGAAATTGAGTAATATACAAATAACATGAATAAGAAATAAACGCCTTGAAAAAATGTACTCATCAATTTCTCACTCTTTTCATTTTCAACCCAAAATCACAGCGATCATCAAACATCCACATTTTATTTAACATTTTCAAAACAATGTACTAAAAAAAATGTACTCTTCAATTTCTCACTCTTTTCATTTTTAACCAAAATCACACTTCACAGCGATCATTACTCCTAGAACTATGAGGCTCCACGTAGTGGAGCCTCATAGATCAAGAAGCCCGCAAAATTGCCTGCAGCACAAAACACTAATAAAGTACAAAAACGTCCATCAAAATGGAGACATTTCACACAGAACCGCTGCACAGTTTGCCCCTATACTCCGTACTTTATCTCTTGACATACTCACGTATCATGCGCAGAACTAACATAGGTGGATTCTGTCGGTTTTTAGGCCAAAATGATGAAAAATATGCCCTTTCCGCACTGAGCCAACCTGACACTTGAAACGTGCACGCATATGATCGAGCGATGATTTTCGGTTCGCTCGGAGCGCGCCGCGGGGGGTACGATACATGCACTTGTACGCATGCACATACTATCATTTCGCCTGTACCGTACCCCCCACGGCGCGCTCCGAGCGAACCGAAAATCAGCGGTTCTGTGTGAAATGTCTCCATTTTGATGGACATTTTTGTACTTTATTAGTGTTTTGTGCTGCAGGCAATTTTGCGGGCTTCTTGATCTATGAGGCTCCACTACGTGGAGCCTCATAGTTCTAGGAGTAAGCGATCATCAAACATCCACAGTTCATTTAAACATTTTCAAAACAATTCAACCAACATTTATTTATTATTTTGGTCTAAAACATAAGTCTATTCATTTATTAATATTATTCATAATTATTGTATGTTGGGCCAATTTACATAATTTTTAGGCCTATAAATTGATACAATTTAATTTAATTTTAAAACAATCTAAAATGTTATTATTAATTGTTATTTATGTTGACCAAATGTCTGATGTATGTTAATTTCATCCAATGCTTCCACTGTTCAAAAGCACAAAATAGCTTAGTTCGATTTCAAACATGAGATCCTACTTTTGCGGCATTTTCCAGCCGGCGGTCTTCCTGTTCCGATTTCTTGTGCACAAACACCGAGACCCGCGACCCGTCCTTCCGCTTCGCTGGGTGGAGCTGCCACTCATTCTGGGACGAGGTTTCCAGCGGCTCCTCGAGTTTGCAGCCTTGCAGGACGCTGCTCTCCGCTCCCATCTCCCTAAATTTACCCGAATCTTAGTTTCAAATCAGAACACCTGTTGCGATTTCTGAGTTTTTCTGTTTCATTTTCAGGAACACGTAGTTTACTGCAACCCCCGTTTACTGTGAGTGAGTCATGCATAGCGCATGTACGTACTTACATGCAGTATGGCACCTTCATCACACTTGATTTTGTAATCATTATATCCGTTTGGAGCTTTGTTGAAGATATGGGTACCCGACTGAGGCGATAGACAGGTGCTCTGATTTGGCTGTCACTTTTACTAGAAAATTATATATGATAGGTACAGGTTAGTACGAAAGCCCATTAGCGCCACTGCAAGTATATATGTTACAGATTATGTAATTCGTTATTACGGATTATTAATTCGTTATAACGGATTATTTAATTCGTTATTACGGATTATTAATTCGTTATTACGGATTATTAATTCGTTATTACGGATTATTAATTCGTTATTACGGATTATTAATTCGTTATTACGGATTATTAATTCGTTATTACGGATTACTAATTCGTTATTACGGATTATTAATTCGTTATTATGGATTATTTAATTCGTTATTACGGATTATTAATTCGTTATTACGGATTATTAATTCGTTATTACGAATTAGGTCTGATGTTCTCACACGTGGAGAGCACGTGACCAGGGGCCTATGTATATAGCGCCGCTAGGCGGCGCTATCTTTGCATACAACGTTTGCACTCCTGTGCCATGCTTGCCGAGTAATGACTCAGAACGTATGAGTAATTCGTAATAACGAATTAAATAATCCGTAATAACGAATTAGTAATCCGTAATAACGAATTAAATAATCCGTTATAACGAATTAGTAATCCGTAATAACGAATTAAATAATCCGTAATAACGAATTAATAATCCGTAATAACGAATTAATAATCCGTAATAACGAATTAATAATCCGTAATAACGAATTAGTAATCCGTAATAACGAATTAAATAATCCGTTATAACGAATTAGTAATCCGTAATAACGAATTAAATAATCCGTAATAACGAATTAATAATCCGTAATAACGAATTAATAATCCGTAATAACGAATTAATAATCCGTTATAACGAATTAAATAATCCGTTATAACGAATTAGTAATCCGTAATAACGAATTAAATAATCCGTAATAACGAATTAATAATCCGTAATAACGAATTAGTAATCCGTAATAACGAATTAATAATCCGTAATAACGAATTAAATAATCCGCAACATATATACTTGCAGTGGCGCTAATGGGCTTTCGTAGGTTAGAGACTTGCGCAATGATTGTTGCTATCTCCCCCCCCCCCCCCCCCCCATTTTTACATGTAATTTCTGTAACCTTCAGAATTATCAAAGAACAGTCATCCAAGATCATCATTTTCGAAGTATTCAATGTAAACTCCCGAAATATTCTCGGGAAAAGCTGGTAGTGTTTTGTTGGTGGTACAGTCATTCCAGCAATATGGAACTAGCGACTTTTAACAAGACTAGGAACAATAACCTTTGACCCGTTTCCCCTGAAGAGAGTTTTGGAAACCCGTTATCGGTCTCTTTCGTACACATTTTCTGCAGTGAGTTACTGTTTGTTGGAGTTGACAGATTAAATTGGGCTTTTTAGTAGTTTTATGTAACCTTTTGTAAATTGAATTGATTTTCTTATTAGCACATGTTTTTGTTGTTGAATACATCAAATTTGTGATATTTTACATGTCAAATATTTCAGTAAAACTTGTGTCTATTTTCTGTATGATCGCCGGGAAAAGATGATCTGAAATCCAAGATGGCGGCCCCCATATGACCATACGCTTTCAACCACTTACCCCATTTTCACGTCGTTATCCTGAATGCTAAGTAAGCCCAAGGCTCGGCCTTGTGTACCTCCGCATCTTTAGACTGTAACCTTGTAATCAAGAAGTTGTTACAGTCAGCTATTGATATGCTGTCAAGTTTCACAAATCACAACTTTTTTAGAGCATGTAGAGGGCGCCTTTTATCACTGATTGTGTCTCACTCCAGCATGCAACTTAGCAGTGTTTTGCATAATGTTAAGGATTAATTTGAAATAGCTTTGGCTGTTTTTAACTAATTTGAGTAATTTTACATTCACGATTGTTTGATATTTAACGATACTTTGACATGTTTGACTTTGTTTGTGCAATGCCAATGCCATGGGGGAAAATTGAGAAGTATGGAATGAAAGGGGCACTAGGTCCTGAAATCCCCGAAAATTTCACGTTTTGGATTGTTTACTTATCCTATTTCAAACATGTGGTTGAAAGGAAACCAACCTAATGTCTTAACGTTCCCGAGAAAAGACGAAAAAAACCTGGTTGCTTACAAAGTTACATAGGAGTTAGGACACGACGGAGTACGAACAGCGGTGACCAATCACCAATGTACAAAATAAATTTTCTTCGACGTCCGTAAAAGGCAAACACTTTACAGCTGGAATCACAACTGGCACACAAACAGCTCGACTTTTGCAAAAGTTGACCCCGAAATTCGTTCTCGCACGCATGATACAGGAATAGCACAAAAACGCCCAGTTCTTAAAGGATAGTTGTGTGGATGTTTATATCCAACTTTTAACTGTTCTTTCCGATTAACATCATTTCGTTCAAAGTGCGTTTTGTAGCCAAGTTGGGCTGTTCCAGGACCCAGTGTCCCTTTAACTAGGCAGACAGATACAACCCCAACACCACCCCCTCCCCCCCCCCTCAAAAAAAGGGGGGAACCCACTTTTTCAGTAGGTTGTGCACAGTGTTTTACATAAAAAATAAACTTAAATTAAAGTGCAGTTAATGTGAAGGCAAGAGTAACGGAATTGTATTCCTGTCCATGCTAAACTAAAGATTTCATTATAAAAAAAGTTGTTTGTGTGTTGTAGTACCCTCTGATACTCGGCAAGATTAGTTTTGGTCAACTTAAAAGAGATATAAAGGCTATGATCTCAGACTTACAAGGTGTTTTGTATTTATCATCAGACCAGGATGACTGAGAATTGGGACGAGGTTGCAGTAATTGCTGAGGCCGAGGTGCCTGAGGTGCACCTGTTTGGGCGCTGGAGCTGTGACGAGGTCTCAGTCAGCGACATCAGCTTGACCGTAAGTATATCCCTAACCTCCCCTCCCCCTCCTTATTTTTTATATTAAATGGCCTGTCTGCAATGATACATACATTTTGACAGTGCAAGAAAACTGAAAAAGCTTGTAAGACTTTACTGTGTAAGTTGCATTAACCCTTTCCTTACTAGGTACTTCAAACTCTATTTAGAGGTTTTGGAGGATTCTTTAGGATTAAGATAGATTTTAGAGGATTCTCTAGGATTAAACCTAACTCCTTACTGGACCAAGTTTGCCAAAATCCATCACTGACCCTGCTGGCCTGCTTCACATAATGCTTCAGGACCAAATCGGCTGAAATCCACCACAAGACCACCACTAATATATGTAGTTGGATTTTGATGGACTTGGTACAGATGGCTTGTCTGCCAAAATCCCCCTAAAGGGGGATGGATTTTGATGGAGTTAGGAAGGTTAGGGTTTCATTTTGGAGGATTGTGTAGGATTAAGGTTCATGTATATTGTTGAATCTAGAGGATACTGGATGGTACCCAGCCAAACTTATGAGGGAGTTGAGGTTAAATGAATTGTGTAAATATAGAACTCACATGAATGTTATTATGTGAAAACTGTGTTGTCTGATGGAATGAAAATCTTAAAAAGACCTTATTACTAGAACCACTTTGTTGATTGCGCTCAACAGCTACAGAGCACTGGGGGAATGCCCAAGGGACAATATCTAAACCCTTTACCTTCCCACAATACTTTTTTTTGCGATTGGTGCAGTAGACCTTATTTCCGGATTTTTGTCATGGTTTTCCTGGACAAACCAGTTGTGCAGTGCTTGTTGCAAAGTATGATTTCATTGTGAACCAGATGAAAATAATATTTTTAACCCCCTGTTCCCCCTCTCCCCCTCTCACAACCAGGATTACATCGCCGTCAAGGAGAAGTATGCCAAGTACCTCCCCCACAGTGCCCAGCGCTACCAGGTCAAGCGTTTCCGCAAGGCCCAGTGCCCCGTTGTGGAACGCCTGACCAGCTCCATGATGATGCACGGCCGGAACAACGGCAAGAAGCTGCTGACCATGCGCATCGTCAAGCACGCCTTTGAGATCATCCATCTGCTGACTGGCGAGGTAGGTTGCCAGTTCTTGGGGTTTTATCTGTTGACTGACTGCTTTTGTAATAAAGTCTTTTGAGTTCATTGGTGGATAGTGGCTTTGCTAAGATACAGTTGGTTTTTTTTTTGCTGATGAAGGGCCAGCAAAGTGTCCTCCAACTGACTGAGTCACTGACTGAGTTGTTGAGAATAAATAATGTCCTGTAACTGAGACTGTTAGATCCCAAGGCAAGACTAATCTTAATTTTTCTTTGACTGAATGACTCTTTTACTGTTAACCCTAACCACCCCGATTCCATCAAAATCCATCCTCCCCCCCCCCCCCCCCCCCCATTTTGGTGGATTTTGGGGGACTTGGTTCAGAAGGCCTGGCATGACTAAGTATTGATGGAGTATGATGGACTTGGGCCTAATCGCCTAAAGCAGTGCTAGGGGTATCCGATTGATTTTGCCCAGCTTCCTGTACTGCTATTGTGATAAAAGCCATGTGTAGCAAGTCCATGAATGTCAACCAGTGCGTCAGTGGTGGATTCCATTATGTCATGTACAGTTTCGTATCGGACGCTCAGTGATTGATGGATTTTGATGGACTTGGTCCACTTCCCAGTAAAAGATGCTAGGGAGTTAGGGTTAAAGAGACTTTACAGAGTACTGGGAATTTGTTATTGGTTAGAAAGTATTAAATAACAGGAGTTTTAAAGCGTAGGAATATTGATGTTATTGAACTGATGCATGGAGGGCAGTTTCAGACATGTCTGATGTCCATATCGCAGTCTCAGGACAAATGTGGTACGTCAAAATGTTTGTATGTCTGATTCCATTGTCTCCTTGGAGGCTTGTTATAGTACTAACATCATTTGATACTGGAAATTTCCAAAATGTTGTGTATCAGTATGAAATGTACAGCTGAGAAGCAACTCGCATGGATAATTTATTTTATCACATTCTATCCTTTCTCCCGACAGAACCCCCTGCAGGTACTTGTCAATGCCATCATTAACAGCGGCCCTCGCGAGGACTCCACCCGTATTGGTCGCGCTGGTACAGTCAGACGTCAGGCCGTGGACGTGTCTCCACTCAGGAGAGTCAACCAGGTCAGTTTAAAGTGTCAGGGTTATAATCCTTAAAGGGAATGTACATCATTGGCTTTTGCTGTAATTTTCAGAAATGAACTATTTGAGGGGTTAATATAATAGATCAAATATTGTTACACTGACATGTTTGAAGTTTTGTGTTTGAAAATGCTGGAAAAACCAAGAAAAACAAAAATGTTCAAGTAGTCTGGTTCCCTGACTCCACTAAGGATGAAATGGATCAATGTATTGATGCCGGAAAATTGTAAGGTAAGGGAACCAGTCTAGCTGGCCTGCACCCGTTCATGAACATGTAACCAATAGCAAACAAAACTTGGACTGAAAAAAATTGTAAATTTGGAGCAGTAGTTGAAAATAGTTAGGTTTTTCCAACGGTGGTCGGCCGACCACCATTGGAAATGTATACAAAAATACCATTTTCTTGAAAATGACTTACATCAGGTTCCATAATTTTACAGGATGCTTTAGACTGTCATTTACCAACATCATAGTAAGGTTTTTTGTAAAAACTTAGTAGTTTTATTTTTCGATGTTTGCAAATGTTGTATTTTCCCTTTAAATGAAGTCAAATAACAAAACAAAATTGAAACAATCCTGTTCATTGGATAGTCGCCAACAGAATAGAAACTTTATTCGGATATTTGCACCGACTGACCATTTTGTAGTAAGAGGCTACCATATTTGCTGGTGCTTAATCTGTTTGTGAAAAAGCCACAGTTGTGTAATTACTTTTCTGGTAAATTTTGTACTTTTAATGTATCGCTGTTTGGTAATTAAGAAGGCCAATTTACAAATACACAATGAGTTCTGTGTTTTTATAAAATGCGCAACATTGTCACATGACCAAGTCACACATGTGTAAATTAGCATTAACCCTAACCCACCTCAATCCTCCAAAATACTCCTCCAGGCTGTTATGGAGGATTTTTGAGGATTTTTGAGGATTGAGGATGAATGGTGTTTGAGAAACATAAGGATTTTGGAGGATGGAGGATGAATGGTGTTGAAGCACATGATGAATTTTAAGGATGAGGATGAATGCTGTTTGAAAAGGAGGAGGATTTTGAAGGATTGAAGCACTGGGTATCCTTCATTAGGAAAAAAAGTGCAACATTTTGGAGAGTTTTGGAGGATTGAGGATGTTTTCTAGCAAAAAGGGACTAGGGGGTCAGGGTAAAACCAATTAAACCAAGAATCTTTCAGCACAAAATGAATGATCACCGCCAAACGCAATGAGTCGGTCTAGTAATCACAAATGGAATGCCAGATAGGAATACTGACTACAAGTCTGGTACCCTGACTGTTAACTCTCTTATTCTACCACCAGGCAATCTGGCTGCTGTGTACAGGGGCTCGGGAGGCAGCCTTCAGGAACATCAAGACCATCGCGGAGTGTCTGGCTGATGAACTCATCAACGCCGCCAAGGTAAAATGAATTGAGAAACTGTCCAATCACTAGTGAGAACGGCTATCTGTTTTTTTTTTAAATGAAGTGTAGTATTTCCATGAGAATCTTCGAAGCTTTCAGCATATTTTTAAATCGGACTGATGTTCAAGACTAGCGCTGAATGAAAGATCTGAATAAGGTCTACGTTTGCAGCCGTTAAGAGTTACTTAAAGAGTTTTTGACTTGTGATCAGAGGGTCAGAGATTCAAATCCAGATGCTGGCTATGGCCAAGTTCGCGCACTGACTATAGTTGATCAATGGTTAACCATAGTTTGACTAACGCTTGCCCGGACTCTGTCTAGTCGACGGTGGTTGACTACGCTAGTCGACTATTTGGAACAATCGCTGGTAACCAATAGCCGCGCATTCATAACGCTAGCAGAGAGCCAGGATCCAGATGTTTTGCGATGACATTTTGACCAGCGTTTGACTAGAGACGTTCGCACGTTGCTATCAGTGCGCAGGCGTAAGGTACGTCACAAATCAACCCCTAGTCAACTAATGGTCCTTGCCCGAACTTGGCCAATGTATTGCATCCCATCCTGCGTCTTGACCTTGAGATTCTGAGCATTCAGTAGGCGGCGCCTTCTATATTGGGTCTTCGGTAACCAGTTGTACTACCAAAAAAGATGACATCCAAATTAACCAATCAACAGCTTAGTCCACATTTCTGATCGAAACGTCAAAGTTTCTAAAGTCGATTCTGATTGGCTGGCACGCAGGGTCGCATACAATTTACATGTGTGGCTAAATCAGACGTTCGACCGTGGCTCCGCTCACGTGAATGTCTGCTCCTCGGACTAAAAATCTGTTGCATTTTGTAGCAAGAGTTTCAGACCCCTTGCAATACAGACCCCGTTTCATAACCACAAAACATTTACAAGAAAGTCATACATTTGTGCTTTCCCATGCAGGGTTCCTCCAACTCCTACGCCATCAAGAAGAAGGACGAACTGGAACGTGTCGCCAAGTCCAACCGTTAAGATGCACCGACAACTTCAGCTAGGAACCCGCGCCCTGGCTGCTTGCTAATGTTAATTCAAATAACACCACATCCAAGCTACCACATACGTTGTCGATAAACCCTCAATGGAAATTTTAAAAATATCATAATTGGTCCTGCATGTTTGTTGATTGAAACAAGTGTTTTTTTCCTGATCTCAGGCTTCACAAACGATGTCCCACATTTAAAGCGTTATGAACATCTTGGTTGCACAGTTTACCAAATGGCAGGGGGAAAAAAGAAGAAAAAAGAAGTGGATGAATAAATATGTTACACATTGAGAAAATGTGGAAATCTTTGCATTTGTGTTGAATGTGAATTGTTTTGTCTAGTTTGTTGAAGTTTATTTAGTGTGGTATAGACCCCAGTGGTTCATAGTGTTCATTACTCACGATCAGAGGGTTAGGGGTTCAAATCCAACTGTGTGCCATGTGCAGTACCCTTGGGCAAGCCACTTCACCCCCAGACATGCCAACTGCCTCTCTGCACCTAGACGTAAAGTGGGTGTACCGGTATTAGCTTGGGAGTAACCTAGTGATGGACTGGTGTTGCCAGTCATTTCATGCCAAGGAAACCAGCAGTAAACGCAAACCTGATGGCAGATTACATGTAAGAATACATATCATGCCGCACCATTTCAGTCATGGTCCCTGTATCCAATAACAGTACTGAATGATAATGGTTTTTGTGCAGAAAGGAACCAGACTATTTTTTTTCCTTCTAGCCTCGCTTTTGTTACATTGATTTGAAATCAAGATGGCCGCAACATTGTAATTGTCTATTGCAGAGAACCTTCATTGAGGACATATCTCTGTTCCTTTTGGGATACACATGACTGACATGAGTACATGTAGACACTTTGTCCTTGAATAAAAACTGTCCTCAAATGGCAATGCTTTGTGCAAGCAGTCTATTTTTAGTTTTGATGTGTTCAGCGGGGCATTAATGGGCTGCATGATGCACCAATACCCCCTTATTGCTAAGAAAGGGCAAGTTGGGGGACTCCACTTGGACATGATGCCGCATAAGTGGCACGTGAAGACACTTGCTTTGTGCACATTCGGAATCAAATTGCTGTGTGCGCATTGTGCGGAAACCAGTATCTGCACACGTAATTGTTTTGATTTAGAACGTGAAGTTCTTGGTCATCAACGTCCAGATTGTGATGATGGTGTTTTTACCCTAAATTATGTGAAGAAAATTCAACCTATTGATTTCCATTGTTTTTAAAACCACTCAAAATTACGCACAGCTAAACAGAGATGCATTCAGACACTACTGATCCGGATGTGCGGACAAAATTTACATAATTATTATTTCAACAACAAAAAGTGACAGCGGAAATATCTCTCACGCTTCCCAGTTATATTTGACCATTTGTAAACAAAAGAGGGCGCTGTTTATCATAACAGTGGTGCCGTTTGCTTGTTGCACGTGGGAACGTGGTGCTTGCTCCGTGTTCCTTGAATTGACTAGATCGCGATATCCATGCATATGAGACCAGCATGACTAGAGCTGCCTGTGTGGCACTGGCAGGTCCAAAGTGGGCGTGTAAATAAATTCGGCAGACTGTGCTAATCTGTAACTTTATTCCTTTGGGACATGCCTGCGCCTGAGATCTGAAATATCATCAGTGCAGTATGGCAGACGAGTCAGAGTGGGAACACTTGTCGGGAAAGGTAGAAAAAAATGCATGGTTTTATAGCATGTATACATGTAGTATAGGCAGCGGTGTGAAGTTGGTTACTTATTCCTCGTTCCTTGTTCGACATTCGCACGCTAAACACTACATGTACAAATCATGCATAGAGTGTATCCAAATCTGCATATACACATTCGCAAACGGCTCATAGACTGGTTTCCTATCCCGCTAGGCCCAGGAACACTTTGTTTTGCCACACATTTTCGTACAACAGAGACCTCTTTTAAGCATGAAGAACACTTTAGACAGGGAAAGGCTGGATGTAGGGGGATGCATGATGACCTGGGGAACTGGAAAATAATGGGTCTGACCTGGTCCAAGGGGTTAAAATATTTTTTTCATATTTTTGAAAAAGACAAATCTACGGCGATTTTAATGCATGTTTTTCCATATTTTTGTGTACAAAATCGGCGCTCTCAAAGAAATTCCTTTTAATCATGAAGAACGCGGCTTGGACCGGGCAAGGCTGGATGTAGGAGGATGCAAGAGGATCTCAGGAACTAGAAAAAAATTAATCTGACCTGGTCCAAGGGGTTTCAGTATTTTTTAAATATCTTTGAAAAAGACTTAAATCTACGGCGATTATAATGCACGTTTTCCCATATGTTTGTGTACATAATCGGCGCTCCTAAAGAAATTTCCCTTTAAGCATGAAGAACGTCTTGGACCGGGCAAGGCTGGATGTAGGAGGCTGCAGGAGGACCGGAGGAACTTGAAAATAGTGGATCTGACCTGGTCCAAGGGGTTGGAGTATTTTTTTCATATTTTTGAAAAAGACTTAAATCTACAGCGATTTTAATGCACGCTTTTCCATATGTTTGTGTACATAATCGGTGCTCTCAAAGAAATGTCCCTTTAAGCATGAAGAACATCTTGGACCGGGCAAGGCTGGATGTAGGAGGATGCAGGAGGACCTGAGGAACTGGAAAAAAGTGAGTCTGACCTGGTCCAAGGGGTTAAAATATTTGTTTCATATTTTTGAAAAAGACTTTAAATCTGCGGCGATTTTAATGCACGTTTTTCCATATGTTTGTGTACATAATCGGCGCTCCCAAAGAAATGCCCCTTTAAGCATGAAGAACGCCTTGGACCGGGCAATGCTGGATGTAGGAGGATGCAGGAGGACCTGGGCAACTTGAAAATAATAAGTCTGACCTGGTCCAAGGGGTTGGAATATTTTTTCCATATTTTTGAAAAAGATTGAAATCTACGGCTATTTTAATGCACGTTTTTCCCTATGTTTGTGTACATAATCGGTGCTCTAAAATAAATGTCCCTTTAAGCAAGAAGAACGTCTTGGACCGGGCAAGGCTGGATATAGGAGGATGCAGGAGGACCTGAGGAACTGGAAAATAGTAGGTCTGACCTGGTCCAAGGGGTTAAAATATTTGTTTCATATTTTTGAAAAAGACTTAAATCTACAGCGATTTTAATGCACGCTTTTCCATATGTTTGTGTACATAATCGGTGCTCTCAAAGAAATGTCCCTTTAAGCACGAAGAACGTCTTGGACCGGGCAATGCTGGATATAGGAGGATGCAGGAGGATTTGGGGAACCTGAAAATAATAAGTCTGACCTGGTCCAAGGGGTTGGATTATTTTTTCCATATTTGTGAAAAAGATTGAAATCTAAGGCGATTTTAATGCACGTTTTTCCATATGTTTGTGTACATAATCGGTGCTCTCAAAGAAATTTCCCTTTAAGCACGAAGAACGTCTTGGACCGGGCAAGGCTGGATGTAGGAGGATGTAGGAGGATGCAGGAGGACCTGAGGAACTGGAAAATAGTGAGTCTGACCTGGTCCAAGGGGTTAAAATATTTGTTTCATATTTTTGAAAAAGACTTCAAATCTACGGCGATTTTAATGCACGTTTTCCCATATGTTTGTGTACATAATCGGCGCTCCCAAAGAAATGCCCCTTTAAGCATGAAGAACGCCTTGGACCGGGCAAGACTGGATGTAGGAGGATGCAGGAAGACATGGGAAGCTGGAAAATAGTTAATCTGACCTGGTCCAAGGGGTTGGAGTATTTTTTTCATATTTTTGAAAAAGACTTTAAATCTACGGCGATTTTAATGCACGTTTTTCCATATGTTTGTGTACATAATCGGTGCTCTCAAAGAAATGTCCCTTTAAGCACGAAGAACATCTTGGACCGGGCAAGGCTGGATGTAGGAGGATGCAGGAAGACATGGGAAGCTGGAAAATAATAAGTCTGACCTGGTCCAAGGGGTTTCAGTATTTTTTTTATATTTTTGAAAAAGACTTAAATCTACGGCGATTTTAATGCACGTTTTTCCATATGTTTGTGTACATAATCGGCGCTCTCAAAGAAATGCCCGTTTAAGCATGAAGAACGCCTTGGACCGGGCGAGGCTGGATGTAGGAGGATGCAGGAGGACCTGCGATACCTGAAAATAATAAATCTGACCTGGTCCAAGGGGTTGGAATATTTTTTCCATATTTTTGAAAAAGATTGAAATCTACGGCGATTTTAATGCACGTTTTTGAATATGTTTGTGTACATAATCGGCGCTCTCAAAGAAATGTCCCTTTAAGCACGAAGAACGTCTTGGACCGGGCAAGGCTGGATGTAGGAGGATGCAGGAAGACATGGGAAGCTGGAAAATAATAAGTCTGACCTGGTCCAAGGGGTTTCAGTATTTTTTTCATATTTTTGAAAAAGACTTAAATCTACGGCGATTTTAATGCACGTTTTCCCATATGTTTGTGTACATAATCGGCGCTCCCAAAGAAATGTCCCTTTAAGCATGAAGAACGCCTTGGACCGGGCAAGGCTGGATGTAGGAGGATGCAGGAGGACCTGCGAAACCTGAAAATAATAAGTCTGACCTGGTCCAAGGGGTTGGAACATTTTTTCCATATTATTGAACAAGATTGAAATCTACGGCGATTTTAATGCACGTTTTTCCATATGTTTGTGTACACAATCGGCGCCCCCAAAGAAATATCCCTTTAAGCATGAAGAACGCCTTGGACCGGGCAAGGCTGGATGTAGGAGGATGCAGGAGGACCTGGGGAACTTCAAAATTATAAGTCTGACCTGGTCCAAGGGGTTGGAATATTTTTCCATATTTTTGAAAAAGACATAAATCTACAGCGATTTTAATGCACGCTTTTCCATATGTTTGTGTACATAATCGGTGCTCTCAAAGAAATATCCCTTTAAGCACGAAGAACGTCTTGGACCGGGCAAGGCTGGATGTAGGAGGATGCAGGAGGACCTGCGAAACCTGAAAATAATAAGTCTGACCTGGTCCAAGGGGTTGGAATATTTTTTCCATATTTTTGAAAAAGATTGAAATCTACGGCGATTTTAATGCACGTTTTTGAATATGTTTGTGTACATAATCGGCGCTCTCAAAGAAATGTCCCTTTAAGCACGAAGAACGTCTTGGACCGGGCAAGGCTGGATGTAGGAGGATGCAGGAAGACATGGGAAGCTGGAAAATAATAAGTCTGACCTGGTCCAAGGGGTTTCAGTATTTTTTTCATATTTTTGAAAAAGACTTAAATCTACGGCGATTTTAATGCACGTTTTCCCATATGTTTGTGTACATAATCGGCGCTCCCAAAGAAATGTCCCTTTAAGCATGAAGAACGCCTTGGACCGGGCAAGGCTGGATGTAGGAGGATGCAGGAGGACCTGCGAAACCTGAAAATAATAAGTCTGACCTGGTCCAAGGGGTTGGAACATTTTTTCCATATTATTGAACAAGATTGAAATCTACGGCGATTTTAATGCACGTTTTTCCATATGTTTGTGTACACAATCGGCGCCCCCAAAGAAATATCCCTTTAAGCATGAAGAACGCCTTGGACCGGGCAAGGCTGGATGTAGGAGGATGCAGGAGGACCTGGGGAACTTCAAAATTATAAGTCTGACCTGGTCCAAGGGGTTGGAATATTTTTCCATATTTTTGAAAAAGACATAAATCTACAGCGATTTTAATGCACGCTTTTCCATATGTTTGTGTACATAATCGGTGCTCTCAAAGAAATATCCCTTTAAGCACGAAGAACGTCTTGGACCGGGCAATGCTGGATGTAGGAGGATGCAGGAGGACCTGGGGAACTTGAAAATAATAAGTCTGACCTGGTCCAAGGGGTTGGAATATTTTTTCCATATTTTTGAAAAAGATTGAAATCTACGGCGATTTTAATGCACGTTTTTGAATATGTTTGTGTACATAATCGGCGCTCTCAAAGAAATGTCCCTTTAAGCACGAAGAACGTCTTGGACCGGGCAAGGCTGGATGTAGGAGGATGCAGGAAGACATGGGAAGCTGGAAAATAATAAGTCTGACCTGGTCCAAGGGGTTGGAGTATTTTTTTTATATTTTTGAAAAAGACTTAAATCTACGGCGATTTTAATGCACGTTTTCCCCTATGTTTGTGTACATAATCGGTGCTCTAAAAGAAATGTTTCTTTAAGCACGAAGAACGTCTTGGACCGGGCAAGGCTGGATGTAGGAGGATGCAGGAGGACCTGAGGAACTGGAAAATAATAAGTCTGACCTGGTCCAAGGGGTTTCAGTATTTTTTTCATATTTTTGAAAAAGACTTAAATCTACGGCGATTTTAATGCACGTTTTTCCATATGTTTGTGTACATAATCGGCGCTCCCAAAGAAATGTCCCTTTAAGCATGAAGAACGCCTTGGACCGGGCAAGGCTGGATGTAGGAGGATGCAGGAGGACCTGCGAAACCTGAAAATAATAAGTCTGACCTGGTCCAAGGGGTTGGAATATTTTTTCCATTTTATTGAACAAGATTGAAATCTACGGCGATTTTAATGCACGTTTTTCCATATGTTTGTGTACACAATCGGCGCCCCCAAAGAAATATCCCTTTAAGCATGAAGAACGCCTTGGACCGGGCAAGGCTGGATGTAGGAGGATGCAGGAGGACCTGCGAAACCTGAAAATAATAAGTCTGACCTGGTCCAAGGGGT